CTCCTCCCCCTCCCCGGTTAGCCGGCCCAATATCGCGGCCGGCAGAGCCCAGCTCTGGCACCGGCGGGTGCGGCGGTATCTGTCCCTACCAGCTCTGGCACCGGCGGGTGCGGCGTTTCTGTCCCTACAGGCCGGTCCGCTCGGCCGGCCGGCAGCGCTGCCCCTAATCAGACCACAGACCACTGAACAGTGAACACTGGCCAGTGGCCACTGACCACTGGCCACTGACCACTGACCACTGACAGGTGACCACTGACAACGGACCTGTGACCTGTGACCAGTAACCAGTGACCAGTGATCAGTGACCACTGACCAATGACCACTGACCACTGACTACCGGCCCCTGACTAGCTGACCGCTGACCACTGACCACTGAGTAGCTGACCACTGACCAATGCAGGCCATGTTTGACCACTGACCACTGACTACTGACACCACTGACCAGTGACCACTGATCAAAGCAGGCATTGTATCAATGGGTATACGCTGCTCATCTGAAATTTGATGTTAAATCAAAATAAATTTACATGTTTCCTCTCTGTGGCATTTCCCAGCGAGTGACACAGTAATTTGGGCACTCCCTGATCATCAGCGCCTGACTATACGTATCTTAAGGCCGCCCCACACTGGACCTCGCATGCGGGTTGCGAGTTTTTGGTTTTTCGGGTTTCTTCAAAATCAAATGATACAAAAGCTGAGTGACCCACACTACCATGTAACAAGCGAGTCTGCATGTTTTTAGCTTGCGAGCCACCTTACATCGCATTCCAAAAGCTCGTTTTAAGTCAACTTTCGATTTTCCTCGCAGCGAGGTCTGCGAGTTCTGCGAGGCTTGCGGGTTTTTCGTTGGAGTCGAATTTTGGTTCGTTGCGCTGGTATTGCGACTAGATGTAATTTTCTGAAGGTGCACCGGCTTCACTGTATTCATGAAGTTACCATAAGGGAACGGTCTAATCACTCTATGAATTAGTATTATGCCCGCAAACTCAAAACTCGCAAACTCGCAACCCGCATGCGAGGTTCAGTGTGGGGCGGCCTTTAGCCAGTGAGGCACTGTCTGAGAGATTCGCTCTTACAACAAAATAAACGGAATGTAAAGTGCTGACTCTCTGTGGCTCACTCTCTCAGCCGATGAAAAGGTGAGGTACGGGCAGACGATTCGCTCCCACTCTTGGTCGTTTGTCATCCAATGTCACACTGCACTGCGCACCTAAATGAAGCAATGCATGATTGAAGCAGTGTACACGAATAGCCCCCTAAGAAAATTCAATTCAAGTTGATCCCATCCCGGCTTATATACCAATTAACGATGATTCATTAGAAAGCACCGCCGTGAAGTGAGCCGATCTTACACTATCCTGAACAAATCATTAACTTCGCTGTCGATCAATCGAGGATAAAACTGCTTATGCTGCTCGATGAATAATTCAGGTAGAGTTAATTAAGTGAGATGTTCTCCAATTTAGTAAACTTGAAAGTTAAATTTGATTTCGGATATTTTTCCCCTGAAGAAAGCCGTAATATGGTGGACAAAAGAGTAAGAATGATATAAAGGCGCAGGCCAGTAACTACCCAGTAAAGCAATTGAATACCGTGGCCGATGTGACAATACTTGTATGTGTAGGTCTTCGAATGCTTTACTTTTGTGAATGCGTCTGATGTATGACCAGTTTCAATTTGCTTTCACGCGTGCTGGAGTCCACATTTTTTTTTTTGTAGTCAGATCAGATCAGATCAGATCAGATCAGATCAGATCAGATTAGATCATATCAGATGTATTCGAAAGAGGTCCACACAAAACGGTGGCTTTTCGCTCAATTACGTCATACGGTAAAACAAAAGGGAAAGCATGACATACGCACGCATGCACATATTTTTTTTTTCGAACTACTCCGCCACCCATTATTAGGTGACCAGGAGTGCCCCCACCCTCAGCCCAGCGACTCACAGCACCTTACGTTAACACCAGATAAAAATAAAAAAGGATAAGTCGCGGCACTCCCAGCTAGGAAAATTGAAAAAAAACAAAGTAAGCAAAAGAAGTGCGGGAACCGGTTAATAAATAAAGAGAGCCAAAGTAGTCATTGCTGAAAGCAGCGGATGACTGTTCTACTACATCTAAGAAAGAAGTCATTCATACATGCATACATAATTGGTTATTAGAGTGCATTCAGCCTTTCACTCCTAGAAGAAAAATCAGCAAATGGCAATCCAGTGGGGAAACATTTCTGGTCAATTCGAGCGCAGGTCAACAGCCAGACTTTCTAGGGCCCACCAGCTAAGCAGGGCTTGTTGCTGATGGACCCCTTCAAGTCCGGCGTTCCATTTGAGTGGGGACGTATCTCCTGTGTTGATAATCACAAAGGTAGGTTACATTATCAACACATCATTGTCAGCCTAGCCCAACAATAAATGCACCAATATGTCCATTTATTATTGGGACTGTCGGAATGATATCCATCACCATATCCATCACCACAAACATTCAAACACATCGAAACTGAGTGACACACTGCGACCGTGCGGCAGCAAACCAGGGGAAGCATTTGGGCTCAAATAATTTGAGGTTCACAGATATAGCTTATTGTTATACATAAGTACATGCCTGCACGTTAATACACAGTGAAGTGTTTCTCACAAATATTTTGAGAGAAACACGTTTGCCCCTACTGTGAAAGGCGGTTTTCTCTGTGCTGTTGACAGCCGATGTTTAAAAACTTTCGAGCAGTAAACAGATCATTTAGAACGGAGAGAACGGAAAACGGCGACAACATGGCTCCCGTCGTTGATGCGTTGTATGACAATCAATATTGATAACGTCAGGGGCTGAAAATAAATGGCACTGCCACGTCAGCAGCGCTGAATATATCGTCCTGCCGTGAAGGTTTCATTAAACTATGGCTAGCGAAACGAACAACCCATCAACGCGTCTGAGGCGCTCATAGTGTGGGCGGATATGCATCGATCAAGATTGGTGTAGTTCGGCAATGTATTTTAAATATTTTTGAATTATATTCTTAGAATGTCGGCGCAAGGGAGTGGATGTTTTATCACAGTTCGGTAATTGGTTGCAAAAGTGAACTGCGAAGCTTAGACTGAATTATGTGTTTATTACTATTATGTATTGCCTCAAGAGCGGGTTTCTAGCGACTAGTACCTAGTTGAGATGAGGCCTGAAAATGGAATATCAGAAGCTATTTGATCGGCAGCCTTCAACTCTCAGAATGACCTCTGCTGTCATATTCCGACAGAGTCATATTCCCTGGTCAACTCAAGTGATGAGCCGAGGATGAGAGTCGGTGCATCCAAAACTTCTGGCCGCTGGCACTCTAAGCTTGGGGCCAATGGTGCCTACTTTAGTTTTTGGTTTTGTGCTGAATAGCGCTATTTTAGTTTTGGTAGAGCTGGATGATAGAGCTGGGTTTCATGATTCACCCCTGTTATGTCCTACTTGTGGAAAACGGAAGTGATGTGCAGCGATATTGACTTCAAATTCCTTTATTAGAGATATTAGGGAACAGAAAATATTTTTGAAAACGAGACGGTGTAAGTCCATTAAAGGGACCCTCCCACCTTCAAAAAAGTTAATGAATTGGCACGAAAGTGATGTCGCTCGGTTCAGAAAGAGCGAAAATCTACCAAATTTCATCGAAAAATATTCACCGGTTTTCAAGATATTAGACTTTTACTTTTGTTTACTTTTTGGGATCTCCGCTGTTCCTAGCGACTTTATTTGAAAGTGCGGCATTTGTTGCGCGCAAAGCAGCATATACCACCGCGTGCTACCAAACGTTTTAGTAAAAGATTTAAAAATCGTTAGATCTCCGCTGACGTCACAAATTCTAAGGGGGCATACCAATGCACTAGCCCCTTAGAATCCGAAAACTGCAAGTTTGAAATTCCATATCTCCGAATTAAAGCATTTGTCGATGTTGTGAGTGCCCAAACCGGTATTTGCAGGCCATGGCCACCAATTTGGCTATCTCAACTCAAAACTAATGTTAAGGTGGGAGTGTCCCTTTAAAAAAGCTGAAAGTGAGCACTGCGCAGTCAGCAGTCTGTCTCCAAGAGAATAGCGAATTGTCTTCTCCTGGACAATTTATTGCCTGTGTAATTAATTTATAATGGTGTTACTTACAGGTATTGTGTGTTTTTCCAGATGTGGATGGATCACAAGTTTGTGTGGGACCCCAAGGAGTACGGCGGCGTGGAGCAGCTGTATGTGCCCGCAGAACACATCTGGCTCCCCGACATCGTCCTCTACAACAAGTGAGACATCGACTCCATTCAGCAGTGTAAAGGACTGATACGTTAAATATGGACCCTTGCAACTTACGCCAATGCCATGCCATATTGAATAAGGTATTACGACGGTCACAAAGAAAGGGAAATATTCCACATGAAAGAAACCCATTTACTATCTAATGAAACATAAAGCCGTTATGGTTGTCATTTCGAACCGTGATTGAGGCTTGGAAAATTGAAGAACTCGGCACAGGCGAAATCCCAGCCAGCATCCGCATTCCGCATGCCTTGGGAAGTCTATTACTGGGTTCACAATGCACAAGGACGCATTAGCCGATAATGACTTCCTCCCCCCCCCCCCCTCACCTCCCCGACATCATATCTTGAATTAGAGTTTTCAGTCTTTTTTAGGCAGTCTGATAAACTATTTTAACAATTTATATGCGTCGTCTTTTTGGGTTCTTGTCGGCTTTCATCGAATTGACATCGATAATTAGTTACAGCCCTCTGTAGACTGCGTGGTAGGTATTTTTTTTTCGACAAAAACGAGAATGAGGCAAATAGTATGCTATCGGTCATTCGGAAATCGTAACAGCAAGACGCGCGAGACTCCACATCTTAGATTGGCATCAGCACCGTATTCATTTTCCATCTAGTTCAGCAATAAAACCTAAAGGTTTATATTTGCCCCCAAAACAAACTTTTGCATTTTGTTGCCACACAAGGCGCATACTTCGTTTAGTTATAGACCCAATCGAAGGAGTGGAGCATGGCGCATCTATATGCAATGAGTTCCGACCGACTGATAGCATAGCCTTTGAGTTATTATCGGTTTTGTCGAAAAAAGAATACCTACCACGCAGTTTGCTGAGGGCTGTACAATGCACATTGCACAAAGCTGCTTAGTGCTTGTAGTTGTTTTATGACAGACAAATGAATTACCGACGATAATTTCATGAGCATCGCAGCAAAAGCTCAGTGTATCAGAAAATTAAGCACTTGGGTAAAATCAGTCGATTTAATGACAGAGCCAATTTCGAATCCAAGGAATCAAAGCGGCAGTTTCTAAGTATGCTGTTTAAGTTGCTTCACGCATTCAGTTAGCTGTGCAATTATGTTTATATGCAGTATGCACGGTTTCTATGTAGTCATTGCTTCCCCTGTAGTGGGGCTACGACATAATTCAAAAGTATTCGCGTTTTACGATCTTGGCCGCCTTACATTCAGCAACATCAGCCTACACAGCAGGTAACATTGGCAACTTTTCTCATTTCCGCTCTCGGAGCGAGCGGCTGTGAATATGCGGGCGAATGGCAGGGTCGTCTCTGGGGCGGCTGGTGGCGGCGCTGTCTGGCGCTGCGTGGGCTGGGACCGCTGTCATTGGGCTGTACCGGCCAGTGAGGTCGTACCGGTGGCACTTCAGCTCGTATACGGCGCGTCCGGCGGCCGGGAACTGCAGCGGCACCGGCCTGGCGGCAGCAGTAGAGAACCCACGCAGCTCGGAGACGGCAGTAACCAGGACGAAACCCAAACAAGAGGAGAGCAGACCAGGCCAGACCGAACCAATTAATCGAGCTTGATGGGGCCGGACCAGGTCAGGTTTGACCATATCAAAGCCTTCCAGGCAGCTCCACACAGAGCTGGATATTAGTAAACCGATGTACCGAATAATAGAAATTAGCAATAGAGCGTTTGGCAATCTCCGCATCCGAATCGCAATTTCACATCACATTTCGAGAACTGCTTGGTTGACCACATTTCTCTTGATATCTTCATTGACGTATGATATTAGTGGGACCAAACACAAATGCAATTTCGTTTTGGGCGTCTGATGTTATTACGGCCGAGTGGATCCGGTGGTGGAGCGATCCGTTGATCTGTCGGGCGAGCCGATCCAATATCGGCTCCCGGCCCGGCCGCGGTCGTTTCACCGGACAGCGGTGGCCACCGCTCACCGAAGGCGGCCCAACGGATGGCCGCATTTGTTGCCGTCATTGTGGCGCAGCGGCGGCGCTGGCGGCGCGCCGCGCCGAAGGTGGCGCGCTCGGCCGTCGATATTCGGCCCCCGGTATGCGTCTCCCCCCGGCCGGAAATATGGGGCCGGCGCCGTTTCCTGAATGCTTCATCGGTGTGTCCGGCCGGCCGGGCCGCGGCGGGGCCGATATTTCGCGGCGCTCTCTCGCTCCGTCGGCGCTGCGGCGGGCTGCACAGCGTCATAGCAGCCAGTCAGTCTGGTGTGGTCTGGTCTGGTCTGGACTGGTCTGGTGCCCATACCACAGAGGCGGGAGCCGGCAGTTACCGGACCTTCATTTTGTCCGAATTGCTCTGGGCATGTGTGAGTGCTCCCACCTCGGCACTATTGTGGGTACCGTCTCCATTCTGACGCTCCTTTACCCGTCCTTCTTTTCCTGATCACCTTGTCATCTCTCCCTCCCTCTCTCTCGCTCTCTCTCTCTCTCTCTCTCTCTCTCTCTCTCTCTCTCTCTCTCTCTCTCTCTCTCTCTCTCTCTCTCTCTCTCTCTCTCTCTCTCTCTCTCTGTCACTCTTGATTTCTCTCTCTCCTCTTGGGACCTTTCACCTTCCCTTGTGATCCCTATTTTCGCACAAGCGGCGAGGCCCACCACACTGTATCAGCGTTCCATTAAAATGCACAAAAAGCCATAACCATTGACTACTACCTACCATTAGTCGACACTCAGAATGAATCAGAAACCCCTTCTGGTCGAGCTAATCGATCAATTTATCGAGCAGTCACGGTCAATTTGTATTTGTGTGTCAATGCATACAGACGAGTTTCGTTCCGGACGCTATTGCCTCAAGACGGCGTGCCATTTGTTTCAGCGCGGATGGGGAATACGTAATCACCACTCTGACCAAGGCCATGATTCACAACGACGGCCGCGTGCTCTGGGATCCGCCGGCCATCTTCAAGTCCTACTGCCAGATCGACGTACGCTACTTCCCCTTTGACCAGCAGCAGTGTTTTATGAAGTTCGGCAGCTGGACATATGATGGCCATCAGGTGAGAGGAGCATGTGATCGGTACCATTTTGCTATTCAATGCTCTTTAGACATAAAATTAAAATCTTTTTTTTTTTTAATCAGGAAGTTTCTGTCGGCGTGGAAAGAGATATTCGTATTCCGCCTTACATGAAGGCTTGTGATAACTTAATCCTAGGTGAGATAACGTGAATAGTTAATTATTACGTATGGCCAGACATTCAGAGGGAAGCTGGGTAATCAATCATGTGCGTAATTAACGAACCGTGCTAAAATATGTATGCACGAAGTTCATGGTGTGATCCTGCACCTTGACTAATTGCTAATGCTGTGATATCTTCATTCTTCAACCCTTGTAATGGCAGGACTACTCCGTATTGTTTGATATATGAAGAGGGAGAGGGAGAGGTGGAAGGAGAGAGAGAGAGAGAGGGGGAGAGAGAGGGAGAGAGAGAGGGAGAGAGAGAGAGAGAGAGAGAGAGAGAGAGAGAGGGAGGGAGACGGGAGGAGTAAATGCCATTCAGGCAAGGCGGGTTTCATTCCGGCCGGTGCCGCGGCGCAGGTGCCACTAACTGTTGCTCTGTCATCTGCATGGGTGCCGAAACGACCGCCGCCCCCGGGGAGCTCAGTCGTAGAAAAGCAGGCGCAGTTTTCTCAAAAGGCACACTTAACATGAAAATATCTAGCCTGTGAAGAAATTTGCAACAATCAGTCAAAAAAATCACACCAGTGCACTTATTTCTAAACAAAGCGAAAATGGGTCATTTACAGAACTCACGACAGAAATGGCCCCAACTCAGTAGTTTGCCGTGCTCACTGCTCAGCTTTAGCTATATGGCTTGTCCCTTGGGAAACGTTCTGGTTCGGGTCAGGTCCCAGAACCATTTGCGGGATAATGTGGCGCTCCTCCCATACGTAAGCAGCACCAGTTCCCCCAGGCGCCCATTGACGCCAATGTCTGTCTATATAACATGAGCGGCGAACCTGGTGACCCCTGGGTGTTCTCAGATCGACCTGCGGCACATAGATCAGACGCCCGACTCCAATTTTGTGGAGCTCGGCATTGACCTGAAGGAGTATTATCCGAGCGTGGAGTGGGACATTCTCGGAGTGCCGGCCACGCGTCACGAGAAGTTCTACCCGTGCTGTGTGCAGCCCTACCCAGGTGAGAAGCAATCGCATTTGTTCACTGCTCATCTTTTGTGTGAAACTGTTCGTAAGATCGACGACTTTGCGCTCCAATAGTCTTAAGTTGGTCTATCCATGCACATCAACATTCGCATTTTTGATACAAGGTCTTAAATGGCTGGAGAAGCCTGCATCAGATCCAGCTATAAAAATAGGTCACTTATTGGTCGGAGCATTCAACATTCTCCAATGAGCGTAACATAAAACATTCAAAATTTTATCAGCAATCTCAACGTACATACGGCGCTGTTCTCGCGTATGCGGCTCCCCGGCTCAGACGACTGGAGATGTAGACTGTACCGCCGGGCACGAGAGTGTTGCGGAACAGCCTACCTTACAGTTCTCGTGGCGCACGCTCAATCTGTGCCGTTACCGAGTCGGAATGAGCGGACATGTTTTCATTTTGCCAGCGCAACTAAGTGTCTTCCGGTTGCTGCGATAGAAGCAATAGTGTTGTAACATGTTCACTACTTTGCAATGAGATAACAGATGATGATCGTGAGGAGCACAGCATCACTGACGACGCGATGCGCGCTACGCTGTACGACGCAGTAAGACGAAAAGCTGTACTCTTAACCCTATTAGTGGCAGGGGGGGGGGGTGTTTTTATCCACCCCTCAGGTTTTTCGGGAATATCTCCGAAGCCGCTGAAGCTACAATGCTGAAATTTTCTGACTTTTCCTAAAACTAAATTGGGCACATTCCCTGAAAATTTCAAGTTCATAACTTTACCAGGGGCGGCTCCAGAGCACTGGGAATTGGGGGTCCTATTCGTGAAGCGAGTCATTTGGGCGAAGATCACGATGCTGCACCAGTTTTACGAACAGTGAATGAAAGGTATCATGTGATAACATATACAAAGTTATTGTGCATCCTCTTCTGACACGTTTTTGCTATAATAGGCGGATCCAGGCGTCCAAAAAGGGGGGTTATTTTTTACCTCCCAACATAGGTGCCCTGACACCGCCTATGCATGACCAATACAATTTTAGTCGTTCTCTCATAAGAAAATTGTAACATAACAAGTCCATTGCCACCCTTTTTAGAAACAGTACCTACCAACAAAAACCTTATTTACTATACTTTTTGTGTACCCCCAATCTCAATGATCTGTATCCGCCTATGATTTTTAAAAATGCGTATTTTTAGGATCCATGTGAATTCCTGGTTCATTCTCTATCGATCGGCAAAAGTTGCGTTAAGATTGGTTCAGAAACCTGGCTGTGATAAACAGTCTAAAATGTATCTGCAATTTGCCCGTTTTTACCCCCCTCTACCCCCTATTGACATTATTTAATTTTTTTTTAGAAATGTAGATCTCGTTGAGCCAAATCGAATGCCGTTTGAATTTTGAAAATCGGCCGGTTAGATCTCGAGATATCAAGGGGGGGGGGGTCGTAAACAGCCCCCCCCCCCGCCACTAATATGGGGTAGCCAGGAGCCTGCCACTAATAGGGTTAAGTTATATCAAGTTACGCAACAAAATAGAAAAACCGAATGCTAGCAATGTCATTCCTCAAAAGTCTGTTAAACCTCGCATGTATAGGGGGGTCGGATGGACCCCCCCGATGGTTTTTCGCGAATAACTCGCGTAAAAAGCGGCCGATCGCGACAAAACTTTCAGTACCCTCACATTGATCAATTTTACACCTACCCTGAAAATTTCATGACCCTGACCCAAATGACCTTTGACCTGTGACCTCTTTTCCGAGACCATGTTTGGCCGGAATCGCGATTCTGTGTATGTCGGCTCGCATTAGCCGCGCGTTTGCAAGCTTTTCGTGGTTTCAAACGTTCAAACATGTGATTTGATGTTGCTTCCATGCATTAGGGTGGGTGTCAAGGTCACCTGAAGGTCAGGTCAGGTCATTGACCTTTGGTGACCTCGGGTGACCTCGGTTCACTTTTTCGAGCTGTACATGTTTCTACGCTGGTTTTTGGAGCTGAATTCGAATTTAGCAACCATTTGAACATTTACGAAGTAGTTTTGGTGCCTTCGTAACATGTTACGAAGCTGTCAGAGGCGGTTGACACGTACTACGAATACCCGTCACGATGCCTACTGGTTGACCTGACCTGACCTGACCCGACCTGGTCTAAATGCTTAAAGACATCATCTGTGATCAAAACTAAAACGATATTCGTGATCAGCACCCCGAAAAACCCCTTAGCAGCCACACTTTACGACTTTCTAACAGGTCCCGATTTTCCCGACTTTGGGTCATTGACCTGACCTGGAAGGTCACCCAATGACCTAGGACCTTAAAATTGGGTATCATCGGCTTCCTCTCGTCACGGGCAACACGCTCGTTTTTTCCGCGAAGCTCTAGCTCGATCAGGGGCCAAACGGCAAGGGGGGTTCGACCGACCCCCCCCCCCCCCCCCCGCCTACACATTAGAAGCTGGCAAACGCCGCACACATGCGAGGGTTAACTTCTTGATTTGGTTTTTCGCGTTCTGGCACATGTATGTTTCAAAACTTTAAAAGAACTCCATTATCGTAATTTATTTCTTTTCGATTAACGAAACTTTCTGGGCATGGCGAAATTCTCCATTGAAATGTGGAACGAGTGAACAGCTCATTTCTCGCAGATTCTGCTCTTCTCTGGAGGTCAATGCTGGACGAAAATGAATGGCATAAAAAGAAGAAAAATATTACAATAGTAAACTACTTTTAATCAGCAAGTAGTTGGCTTTATTTGAGAAAATAATTGTAATAAGAAACATTATTGCTGTTTTATCAAATGCACACGTATGTAGCAACTCTGCGTTCATTGAATGAGCTTAGTCCTGTATTCTCACCTGTGATCTGATGACGAGTCTTGCATAATGTCGGAGGGCTGAACATTTATCTAAAATAAGTTATTTATACGACGTCGCACTATGTGCTGCTATTTATTGCCTCGTTTAAATTTTAACGCAGAAAAATGGACCGTATATGTCGGCCGCCATGGCAGGTCTTTTGTGCCGTGGGATCACTTTGTTTTCACCAGCGCCAGATGGAAGAGGTCAATTCGTGTCGCCGTTTTGTTTGATGGTGACATGGTGCTCCGCGCGGAGATGTGGCGGCACTGAAGGCGGCGGACGATATGACGCTGTCCCGCCGCCAGTCTGGACAGCCTCTCGGCTCACTGCCTCGCTGAAGGCCTCGCCGAAACTTGGTTTGACGTTTGGCGGCACTTGAATACTGATGAGGCCTGGGGACTGAATCCACCTTCGGGACGCTATTTTTCACCGACGTGCCTCCGAGTGGGAAAAACTCGCCAACTGGGTCCCAGAAAGTTTCGCTCAGTCAGCATTAGTCAATAACGTTCTGCTGAACTGCGATACTAACGCGGCACTCGTCTGTTTTTGCAGATATCTACTTCAACGTGACGCTGCGGCGGAAGACGCTGTTCTACACGGTGAACCTCATCATCCCGTGCGTGGCACTCTCCTACCTCTCCGTCCTGGTGTTCTACCTGCCGGCCGACTCTGGGGAGAAGGTGGCCCTCTGCATCACCATTCTTCTCTCCCAGACCATGTTCTTCCTGCTTATCTCCGAGATCATACCCTCCACGTCTTTGGCGGTGCCGCTGCTCGGCAAGTACCTGCTCTTCACCATGATTCTTGTCACCATTTCTGTGATCTCCACCATCGTCATCCTGAACATCCACTACCGGAAGCCGTCCACGCACCGGATGGCGCCCTGGGTGCGGCGCTTCTTCCTGCAGGAGCTGCCGCGCCTGGTGCTGATGAAGGTGCCGCAGCGGGCGCCGCCGCAGCCGCAGACGCCGTTCGAGCCCACCCAGCCTCCGGGGGCCACCCTGCCCGGACAGTTTCACCCGGTGCATGCCGAGGTGGCCGACAGCGCCCGCCTGCAGGCGCTCAACTTCTTCGGCGACGAGCGCCGCTTCCCGTACGAGATCGAGCGAGCTATCCAGAACGTGCAGTTTGTGCACCACTGCTGGAAGGTGCAGGATCAGTTTGATGAGGTGAGAACACGTGAGAGGGAGCTCAATGAGGTGAGAAAATGTGAGCGAGGAGCTCAACAAGGTGAGATTGAGAACACGCGAGCAGTAGTGTTGATGAAGTGAGCACTCAGCAGGAGCCTGCGCTGAGTCTGAACGAGGTAAGTCGATGACTCAGACCAGGGTGATGGTCTGCTAGCTTCGCTGACTGACGAAGGTGATGACTCGTGTGTTAGCAAATAGCCGAGACGTAATTGGACGGCGCTGACCACGCACTCGTGACTCGCAGCGGAAGTCTGATGGTACGCATTTTCTTGAAAGTCCTTGAAAGTGTGGTGAACAATTGATTTGCCTACTACTAGTAGTTTCCTTTCCGTTTTCTCTTGCATGCAGATTATATATTTTTTCAATTGTATCCTTCATATTCCTGACGCGTTTATTTCACTCTCCCTGTGCTTGTATGGTTCATCAATCATCTCCATCAACTGAATACTTCGGAATGGGATGTTTGCCTACCTGCATGCTCCCATACGCATTAATAATGGCTGTCAAGCTAGAGTATTTTATGATAGGCGAGTCGCCTGGTAGCTTGCGACCATCAACGATTGAGTTTTCTATGGTCTCTCTCTCTCTCTCTCTCTCTCTCTCTCTCTCTCTCTCTCTCTCTCTCTCTCTCTCTCTCTCTCTCTCTCTCTCTCTCTCTCTCTCTCTCTCTCTCTCTCTCTCTCTCTCTCTCTCTCTCTCTCTCTCTCTCTCTCTCTCTCTCTCTCTCTCTCTCTTCTCCTTTCCTATTCCTGCAATGGTGTGTATGTGGCACCTGCCCGGACTGGGCCCGGCCGGTCCAGTTTCGCTCTCACCCGCTCCCCACTCGGTCCTACTCCGTGCCACTCTCTCCCATCTCTGTCCCACTCTGTTCCACACTGTCCCTCCGTTCCATTCCGTCCCACATTGCCCCACCCCGTCCCACGCCGTTCCGTCCCACTCTGTCCCACTCTTTTCCACACTGTCCCACCGTCCCACTCTGTCTCAGTCTGTTCCTTGCTGTCACCATGCCGTTCCACCCCGTTTCCAGCTCTGTCGGTATGCCTGTTTGGTCTGCGGCCCTATCAGTGCCGGTTGGCGATCTGCCATCCCCCGGCGGCGCCGCACCAGTTGAGCGAACCACGGACCGCCCCTTGTCGCCAAACGGGGGGGGGGCACTGCAAGGGAGGGCGGATAACGGTGGGGAGGGGGAGGGGGACACGATTGGGGCGGACGTACATACAAGATTTGGGGGTGGACGGACATGGTGGGGAAAGAGCGGACACGGTGTGGGGAGGGGCGGACACGATGTGGGGACATTGGGACGGACATTTTTGGGAAACACCTGTAAGACAGTAGGGGATCAGAGGGACAGGACGGGGAACAAGCAACGCATAGTGTGAGGAACCGGCAGTGACTTTACATGTAAGATATTATGGACATGTATCAGAAGCAGATTCTGAGGACCGGCGAGCCTAGCCGAGACGGCGGCCGCGCCCGCCTGTGAGTCGGTATCAGCTGGGTGCCGCCATGGCGTCCAATGCGGAGTCCCCTCCCCTCCCCCCGTCCGAGACGGCACTGGTAAACAAGCCTGTTTGGGAGCGAGCTGTGGAAGCCCCTCGAACTCGGCTCGAGTGGATGGGAGTAGGAACGATGGATTGGCTAGCTTTCCTTCAGTGTGTGCCTGTGTTTCATCCTGATCTCTTCTTTTCCATTCATCACTGATGATACTCGGGAAAGCCTGTGTCCTGAGCTATTATGTGATCAGGAGATGCTTCTCCCTGCCCCTAGATGCCCTCCTTGCGGCCTTGCCCCTCCCCGCCCGCCCGGAGCCGGTGCGCCGGCAGACTGGCTGCTACGGGCGGACGGCGGCGGGCGGCGGCTGCGGGCGGCGGCCGGCGCTCTATTGATCGGCGCGGCCGCCTGTCTGATTGCAGGAGGACCAGGACTGGGCCTTCATCGCCACCGTCATCGACAGGGTGCTGCTGATCGTCTTCAGCGTGGTCTCGCTGCTCGGCACGCTCATCATCCTGTGCGACTCGCCGTTCCTCTACGACACCACGCAAGCCATCGATATTCAGCTGTCAGAGGTCGCCCATCAGATGGGCATGTTCGCGGGCGAGGCGTGAGAGGCGCGGACATGTGGTGAACCTTGACGACCGGGTGACCTGGTGATTGACGGTGCCCTTGGTGACCTGGCGACCTAGTGACCGAGCTCAACAGTGATGAAAAAAGTGAACACAACGGTGACGGGGAGTGGGGAGCAGTGGCGAGGCTGTTCACTGTTGGTTCGTTGCTAGTTTGGCCGCTGACTGAACTGTGATCAGAGGGTGACAGGGCGATGGACGTGGCATGGACACAGAGACGACGGATCCCGTTAGAGACGAGAGTAGCGACACGTCCGGTAGATATAATGCTGGCTCTCTAATGCAATGGCGAAGGGAGAGCAGCGCGACGATGGGGAGAGCTGGAGAGAGATGGAGGGAGAGAGAGAGAGAGGGGGGAGAGAGGGAAAGAGGGAGAGGGAGTGAGTGAAAACTAGGCAGAGAAGAGCGGGAGTCGGTATCGGTTTGACAAGCGGGTGATATCGGTCGGTTACGCAGCTATGCTGGAGGAATATGCAGTGTCACTAGGTGGTGCGTACAGTGACGGAGCTGAGGAGTGGCGGAGTAAATGGGCGAGGAGCGGAGGAGTGAAGCGGAGACGTCCGCCGGCGCTGTTTTGGCAGGCTGCTGCCGGTCGCTCTCAGAGCAGCTGACGGGCCGACACTCGGAGCACGCTAAACCCGATAAAAAGGCTGACGACGTGCCACCAACTTGAGAGGAAACTTTGCAACTTGGCGCCGGGGGAGGCTGCAGCATAGAGTGATCATTCAGGATGTTTCCTTCGAAGGCGCTCGAAGTTGGCGCTCCGCGAGCCATTCACAGATAATGTGTTCGGATATTCACTGTCAGAAAAGCCACAGCGCTCCCACTTTTTTTTCTCCAAAGAGTCCCTTTAATCACGGACACGTTGCCGGAGATGGCGCTGTGTATAAAGGCTGCAGAGCCTGTGATGGCACCGGCTCAAATGGGACTGGTCCCCTAATGATCAACATAATGACTTTAGTGCTTAATAGTGCGCTGAACGTCGGACGTTTAATGCCGAGCGAACGCCCGGGCCGACTTCGCCAGCGCCTCAAAACGCCGACGAGGCGATTTTGCTTCGCAGAAATGATGCATTAATCATTTCCAATGTCGATTAGGAATAATTGGCATTTTGTTACGTTTTGTCAGCGGAGCTCAAGTAAATCGTACCTCAGTGACAGCTGTTGGAATTAGGATCGCAGACTGGCAGACATGAGCTTCCATATTTTATCCGGCAGTGACATCCCGCACGGACTTTTGACTTATCAAGCGGCATAATTGCGCTAGGAAAACACGGACGAAGCTTTATATGCCGAAGCACATTTTTACAATCAGAATTATTATAATACTCATTTGCATCGGATACATTAGATTGCACCTTTCCATGATAATATGCACACTGCTCAAAGTTCTTGCAAGATTCAGTCTGAGCTCATTACCGGGATCAATTACACGGTGCTCATAAATCATACTCACAGGCTAGATTTTAGCGTAAAGTTTTCATACAAGTGTACACACATGCAAGTGCTCAGCTCTTTTAGTCTGGCCAGCTCAAGCCTCATGCCCTGTGTTAGTGCTGACTTTGTGTGGTCTGGTAGGGTTTGTTTGTGTTTGTTTGGCTCCTTGTTACTTTTATTTAACATCCTTATTTATCTAGCTGCTGGTGTTCCAGCTAGAGCCCATTCTCGGGATTTTGCTACCATCCGTCGGAGTGGGATCTCGCTCCGCTACATCGACCCGTTAAACACGACCCTTTGTCCGTTTCTGCCGCTTCCTCGGTCCGGGTGTTGCCAGTTATCTAGAAACTCACACAAAGAACTGGCCGAGACTGCTCGCTCTATTTGTGGGGATTTCTGCCGTAGCGCTCTGTTGCCACGAAACGAACTGAGATCGTGTCACGCAGAGCGGGATACCTCCACCACATTGTGACTGGTTTCGCGGCCGGTTTACGACTGGAGTCCATTTCCTTGTTCAAATGCAGCTGGAATTTATTGTTGCCGTGGCATTCGGCAGTCTTGATGCAGCTGGAGACCAAAGCAGAGCGCCGGTCTCCCATCACAGAGAAAATGACACCACTGCTCGGGCCGGTATCGATCCACAGTGGCGAGCGCGGAGGTCGCGGACGGCCGCTGGGTCGGCTCCGTGCGGCCCGTTAGCAGGCGTTCCAAACCGAGGCACGCTCCCGACGAAACGGGACGCGTCGGCCTCGCCGCGATCCGAGCCGTTTGTCGCAGCTCTGGAACGCTGGTGCGTAAACGAATCGGATGGTTTCAGGACGAGTGAGCACAGCGCGAATCACTGCCGGGTGCGAGCAGGAGAATTCCGACAGCCGCCGCGAGCTGACCCGGCCGACAGCGGGCGATCGAGAGCCGCAAGACGTTCGTGATCACAACGATCAATAGCGCGCGGATGTTACCGACTGAGACATGTGCCACTGACGTGGCTTGGCTTTGAAGTTCTCGATCAGACAGTCGTCATTCCAGTCTCAACTACTGAGGAATAGGCTCAGTTTCTTCGAGGATGGGCTATCCGAACATGTCTAAGGGTTTGTTTGCGCATGGATTGATCGTTCAATAATAGCGAAGCCACTGAGATGCCACTGGGCTATTTCTAGGCCTCGGGGGTTATCTCGCGGGGATACTACCAAAATAGATTGCTGACCTCAGTTCGGCACACCCGAACGATGCAAACGAACGATACTCGACCGAACGACTTGCGTATAGTCCTTTCCATGACCGAGCATTGGACACCGATTTAATTGAAATTAAAAGCAAAGAAGCCAACCAATCGACATTTCATTTGAAAGGCTCTTCTAGCAAACAACCACTACCTACATAAAATTTTCTAGTTAGATAAGTACCAAACGGATCAAACGGATCAAATGGGTGCCCAATATTCCGTTGTGAGAAGTCGTGATAATGACAACTTTTATGGAAATATGGTGCCGAAAGAGATCATGCCTCGACTATATGATGGACGATGGTGTCATGTATGCAGACCTCGATTGAACTGGATAGTAACAGTGTGGATGAGCTCATAAGCGGGCACCCTATGCAATACAACATCAGCAATGTCTCATAGGCTACATAATCTGCTCGAATGTAATCGCAACTTGTTGACGTTGTCGCCACATGTCCCCTAGGGGCTCGGTGTATCCCCGGAGCCGGAGGCGGGTCCTCTGGGTCCAGGACGGGGTCCCGGTGCGGATCCTGCGGATCCTGTTCGAAGGGACCGGCCACCGGTTCCGAGTCACTTGCTCAATGTTACGCGCCGCCTGTTTCGATGGTGGTGCAGTATGCGGTGGTTGATCTGAATCTTCAAGATCTGGCAGCAATAACGAGTGTTAATTTGGCAGCTTTGGATGCGTGCGTGATCACTGATCTGTGGTGTATAAAGTGTGCGTTTTCGCGTGTACCATATCTGCGTACGTGTCTGTATGCGCGGATCTGTTTACGTTTGATCATCCCTGCTGAGCGCTAGCGATATAAATGTTTGCGGGCTACAGAGCCGAGAGAATAGAACAGCACCTACCTACACTCAATCAGTTCTTACAGTCACCCAGCTATAGCGCATACCTCTAGCATCCCTATTTTCTGTCATCCACTGTGAGCGGGACGCGTCAGACTACGGCGGTGTTATGGTGTCATCAGGCCGATCAGTAAAAGTCATCGGGCGCATTGGATGCGCTGTTCTGTACCTATGTGATGACGAGGCCCATCACCGGAGGGAGGCCAGGGTGCATATACCTACCGTTTGCTGTGGATGCATGTGGTGGACCTGAGATCGGGAAGAGACGGCTGCTGAGAGCGGCTCAAAGAGCCCGCTCTGCGCGTCATACGGGGCCCGGGGGATGTCCGGTGGACTGCGACTGACATCAGTTGGGTGTGAGACAATCAGCGAGCGAGGGCTTTTTACGTTGCAACTCCGGTGGATGTCAATAAACGGGTCGATTTCGGTCGTGTCGGTGTTTTTATCGCTCGGAGATGCCGTCTACAGCTGCGTCGCGCGGTGCTGCTGACACCGGACGCCGCCATCTTGCCAGGCAATTTGTGCGGCGGCAAAACGGCTAATAAACCTGGGCTATGTCTGTGTCTCAGAAACGCTCTTGAAGCTGCCATCGGTGCACCGCGGCGGGATGCCAGGCAGAGGAAAAGCTGAAATATGTAGGAGTGCTTGATTGGAAATATGAAGTATTTGATGTAGTAGTAAAGTAAGTGCGCATAAAACATTCCATGCAATGTAAATTAGTGTTGTAACGTAATTACCTGACTCCTGTCTGTACGACGCCGGTGGTGTAAGGAAGTAATTGGTATTAAGCTTTCCGAGCTAGCTCAGGACGCCAACAGAATGATCGACCACCATCCACAGTTCGATTTGGCCGCCAGGACTGATAACAGAAGTTTGGACGTGAAAGACGGGAGATAGCGGACATTTTTAGTGGCCCATCTGTCTTCCAACTATGGTGTTATTTGGACTTTTATGTCTCATTCTGGCTGCCCCAGCTTCCATCCCGATTAAAGCCGTTAAGTTAAGCTCATAAAGTTTATGATCATCCATCACGATAACGTAATCCACGCTAAAAACAGATGTGATCTTTCTGTCATTTTCTTAGAAACGCCGTTAAGATGATAGTTCAGGTGTCCAGACGAAGCAAGAGGTTGACATCACACAGGTCACCTATTAAACGCGTCATACAAAATCTAGGTAACCTCAATCTAAACGAAGATCAGCATCACGGGATTCAACAATCAACAAACTGATTTAACAATTGATAAATATCTTGGCACGGTACACACTTGGCACCTGTATAGAAAGCTGTCGCATATGTCACTGGTTGCAGCGAAGCACGGTCAAACAGTGCGGCGAAGCACGATCACTTGGTTATCATTCCAACAGCACTGTCACACACCATGGTTGCAGCGTAGCTATGTACAGTTCTCACATTTCTCCGACATATTTACAGTTTACTACGGTCTAGAGGATTGCTTACATGATGCACAGAAACCAGAGAGAACTAATCCACGCATATGTACAGGAACATAGTGTTATACATAGACTGCCTACATTGAAATAGCACATTGCATAAATCGAAAGTGAATCACACTGTGTTTGGCTTTACATCTTCATATAATTGATTTTTGCTTATATTAGTGCCAACATGGAAACCAGCACGATAGCTACAATTGAATTCATAACTGGTTGGATATTTATCAGAGCATAAAGGAAGCACCTTAGAGCACATCCCTCACCGTCTGGTCTCTGGGACAGATATCACTTACGCACGTATGCACATTACATGTAGATTGTAGGTACATTTACACACACATTGCGTCGCCATGTTTTTAATTTGATTCTCACTTTGGCTCTCACTTTGACTTTCAGAAAACTAGCGAAAGCTGCTACGAAACGGGCTGAGGTTAAATCGGCCTACATGAAAAAGATGTCATGGGCGAAAAGATGGGCGTTCATCTTCTCATAACTTACTTTTTAATATGGAAAGTCAGCATTCGAAAAGATTACACGACCTGCTTAGTTTTCACCGAAAAGATAAAGGAACAGGTTAACCGCAAACTACGAGCATGTGATTTCAATCGCCTAATATTGATCCACACTGACCCACATTGACATTAATCCGCCCATCGCTACACTTTCCGGCCACCTATGCACGATGCCCATGCACTCTACTTGCCAACAGTCACCGAACGGTGATAACCCCACACAGACCGACTGCGGGGACCGCTGCCATCGTACATTGGAGTGTCCACAGTGACCGGTCAGAGAGTTTGAGAAGGGAGGTGGACTCGGGAGACGCCGCTCTGTGATACAGCCGGCGCCCCACGCAGTCGGTATACGGTCGGTCGCCGTCCAGTCGCCCGGAGTCGGCCGCGGCGGCAGCAGTGCTGCCCCCTGCTGGTGACCTGCTGACTGTTGACGGCCGGCGCTGAGCGTCCGTCGCTGCTGACCGCTGACGCCTGCCGACTAAGCTGCCACCGCTGACTGACTGCTGACGGGTGCCGGACGGGTTTTCTCGTTTCACGGCTCGCTGCCGGGTGATAGGGTTATTGTCGCTGCAAGCTGCGGTCAGCGCTGCTCAGCCACCCGTCCAGCCGCCCAGCAGCCCAGCCGCTCAGCCGCCGTAGCTGGGGTCGGTGGTGGGCACCTTGATATTGGAGTACTGCGAGTCGATGGCGTCCCGCGTGTCGTACAGAGACGGCGCCTGGAATATGATGGCCACCGTGCCGAGCACGCACGCCAGAGTGAACAGCCACAGGAAGAGCCGGTCGAGCACCATGGCCACGTACTTCCAGTCCTGGATGATCTGCAACACGGCGGCACACGGGCACGGGGCCGGTTAGAGGGTAGTGGTGGCGGGTGGGCGGCACGAATAGACAGGGTCACTGGTATAACACGGACACATCGTGAGCACCGAGATAGTATCAGCAGCGAAGCGCATCTGTCCATCAAATATCGCGGCACCTGAGGCGGTTCCCGAGCGATCACAGACGAAAACCGCCGAGCTGGCCGATAACGCCGCTGCTCCGACGACCGCCGGTCACCGCCGCAGGCAAATCGTCGGTGTCGACGGATGGACCGTCGGTGTCGACGGGCGTGCCGTCCCCGTCGACGGTGTGATGGAGTGGTCCCCCGGGGAGCGGGTCCGTCTCCGAGCGGCAGAGCGTCCGTCACACACTCCACACGCCGCTTAGATAGCGCGGTCCGGCTGAAGACGACAGTGGGACCCAGCTGGAGACGACGGCAGGACCCGGCTGAAGGTGGCGTGATGTTCAGTGGAGGACAGCGTCGGGACCCAGTCGACATGTCCTGGATTGACGGTCTGCTGGACGACAGCTCCATATTTTCATCCATGATAAGAAAACTAGCAGTTGATAGAAAAAAGCACACACACCTAGTCACCATAAACTATCACAAATATTTACGCGAGCGTGGCAATTAAGCTTCATCACTGACAATGCCTCTTATGACATGAAAAAAACGATATCTTCCGGAATAAATTCAACGAAATAAGTGAAATGTAATTTACTTGAAACAATTAGTCAACAACAATACTTTCATCGATTCAAAAGACGTTTACCAAATGAAAAAAAAACATAGGCAGCGTTCGACGGTGATAAGGGTTTCCAATTTCAAAATATCGTATTAGCCCATTAGGAATTGCAGGTCTACAATTAAGTCACCAAAGTCTAGCTCGTCTCATCATCCACATCAATCAAATACAATTCAGAAAGACATAACGCTGTAAACGGCCTCCGAATTAATAAGACATCACATGGTCAACACTATTCTATCTATCACCGTCACGTAAAGGCGGGGTAGCAGCTGTTGGTTACCATGGGTCCGTCTCCGAGCAGGCTGCATTAGACTGCGTAGAGGTCATAAGACATCAATCATTTGACGCATTTTCCCTCGTCGCACCTGTACCGCATATGCTTATCTATTATAATCAATATTATCTTCTGTAGATTATTTTGATCCAGCCATGGTGCATTTCGCTTTCTTGCGAAATTGACGGCGCTTTATGCGTCCAGTGCAAGCGAAGGTGAAATGACTATGCCCCTCCAGCCAAGGCCGTCAAAGCTGCTACGATGGGGTATTCGATGGGTGCTGTCCTGAAGGGAAAGTCGATGTTTTCTGTTTGATTCAATTATGTTCCCTTCTTTGCTACTGACCGTTTCTTATTCAGTTTTGAATCTGTGATCGACTTGCAGCAATAAGTTTTTTTTTTAAATGTCCGGAATTACCCTCAAAAGTTTGTCAGCTCTCAGACAAGTCACTTCTGTTTGTCGTTCTTACTTGCTTCTGATGGCACCCGCTGATTCACTTGTCACACATCTCTCATACCGCACCTTTCCTCGCGCCAAATGTTCCCAGCAGCCTGTTCTAGCGCAGGCTGTGTTCATTCGTCGCAGCGCACCGCCGTGTCAGCGATTCCGATATTTTCGCCAGTCCGTCCGACCCCTTATACCGAGACCGCGGCGCCCCTCCCCCATCCCGCACACTCCCTCAGTTATGACGACTTCTGGTGAGCAGCGTAACAAAACAATAAACCATTTCCAACAGTCAGATTCAGAGATAGAGAAAGCACGCCAGACTGGGCGTGATGCAGCACCATGCGAGCCAACCATTCCAGCCCAAACCGACGCCATGATAGCAGCACCAGCAGCATAAGCATCAGCATCAGCAGCAGCAGCATCGTCAGCATGTCAGCAGCAGCGGCAGCCGAGGCTCAAGTAGGGTAGTGGTAACTTCAAGGGCATGACATGCAAGGTTAAATTTGTTAAAGGAAGGATTCTTTTCTAAGGGAAGGCTGATGAAGTGGTAGGCAAGTCATGTTTGGAATTTGATACGAATAGTTTGGATGAAATTTTAGAGTAGATAGGGCAGCTTTCATACTGAATCAGGAAATTCATCATATTTAAATATAAAAGAAATAACAAGTAAATGGCGAAGTACTTGTATGAACAGCATTATGACATATATATGTTTTCAAATATAACCTTATGTTCAATGATTGCGAAATGCAAAAGGTTCCAAAATTAATTACAAAATGAATATATTTCGGACACTGTCCTTCAGTTCAGAATTGCAAATTAAATCATTTAGTCACAACAGCGCCAGAATATGTCGATAACAGCTAAGTTAGGAAGTCTCACATTGGTAAATTCTCGCGCAAAATAGACAACCATCTTACAGTTGAAATGTTCACAAGGTACCCTTTCATATAAATATAATACATGTGTCCACAATTTACACATTAATTCATCCCTATCATCTATCAATCACTAGACCACAAGCATCTAGTCGTCTATTCAACCATCGAGCCATGCAATCCATCAAACATCCAACCATCCATGTACTTCACACATCACTCAGCTATAGATAATTAGACAATCAAGTCATCAAAGGCCACCACCTTACATCAAAGAGCATAAGTACTGTACCATTAAGCCATTCATTCAAACCTCGAAACAATACTCAATCGTTCAATCATTCATGTTAATCCATACATTCATACATTCATTCGTTCATTCATTCATTCATTCATTCATTCATTCATTCATTCATTCATTCATTCATTCATTCATTCATTCATTCATTCATTCATTCATTCATTCATTCATTCATTCATTCATTCATTCATTCATTCATTCATTCATTCATTCATACAACCTTTTGGAATGGAACCTTTTGCATTTCGCAATCATTGAACATAAGGTTATATTTGAAAACATATATATATAAGAAATAACTCTAATGCAAGAGCATGAAAGAAACAAAATGAGATAGCAGAACAGCGTGAAGTTCGAAATGGTTCGAATATTACGTATAGATAAGAACGAAGTGGAGTGAAAAAATAAATGAACCAGCTACTCTGTACAGTAGCGAGGAACCAAGAAGCTAATGCGTTCAGTATGTAAAGCGTTTTATGAAACACAAAAGAAGGTTCGGAGAGAAATAACAAGTAACAATTCAATACCTTTAGAGCGAAAGCATTATAAAACGACTAAAACCCTTGAAAGAAATAGCACTGGAAGAATTTGAGGACACGGAAGGGATTGATGAGTATTAGTGAGTTTGTTATTCACAATTCGTGCACCTTGTAGGGCCCTACATCAATTCGAAGGCGATTTGCGTGCATTACGTGAAAACATTCATCGTCTAGAAGTAAATTAGCATAGTAAAAGCAGATGAAGGGAAAGTATCTGTGATGCATAGGTATGAGTGATATTTTTGACAACACCGAAAAGTTAGATTGGTAACCAAACAAAACTCGTCGCTCAAAACTAAAAATGACGAGAAGTGTCATCGGTAGAAACAACTCATTGAAATGTAGAAACCTAGATGAACTATAAACTAGATGAACAGTGTGTCATTGGAGGGTGACTGTGTCTACAATCGCCTACGAATGAGACGGTGATCGCGCCGCCAAAAGTGCAGGTGACAGCGTTTGAAGGTGGGTAGAGGGGCAGAGAGGGTAGAGGAGGGCGGAGCGCGGGCGAGAGCAGCGGCCGACAGCCGCACTGTGCAGGAGGTGAGTGCAGGTCTGACAACAGCAGCAGCAGCAGCGGCAGCAGCAGCAGCGTTCACAACAGCAGCATCGACACGCATACACACCTCGAGCGAGGCCCAACCGGCAGCCAGAGAGAGAGAGAGACGCGGCGCTGAAGAGAGAGTGAGAGGGCGGACTGTGAGAAGAGAGAACTCAGGTGGAATGCGTGTACTGACTGCTCACCAGAGTCCGACTTGTTCAGTTAATGAGGGAGAGGAGGCGGGCAGCGCTAGCCGGCCGGCTGTAGCGCCGACAGCGCACAGGGAGCATGCCCAGCAGCCTGGGATGACTCGGAACCCGACTAGGACACATGCTTACCTGAGCTGGAGTCTCTCGGAGAGCCCTGCAAACCTGCACCGCGCAGTACAGAATACAGAGTTCGTGGAAAATGACCTTGAACGTAAACTAGTTGTTATTCACTTGTTATCTTTTTTTAATAAAATAATATTAAAACTAGGTAATAAAGGCCGGTAAGTAAGGCCCAAAGCCGGCGCAAGTTAGCTCATCATTGGTTAGGCCGTGTGATTAATATCGTTTAGTAGATGTGTTTATCAGCTGACCTGCGGGCGGGCCCGCCTCCTCTCCCAGCAGTGGTCAATTTACGGTCCATTTAACTGCGCTAAGCCGGCCGACACGGTCATGCGATACTGAGGGCATGCGCAGTAGCTGGAAGCCGTCCCATGTGTGCGAACCTGCACGGCACGGCACGGCACGGCACGGCACGGCACGGCACGCGGCTGAACCACACGACACGCGCAGGCAGGTGACGGCCACGTACCGCGGGTGGGCGGCCGGCGCCCGCCGGCGCCACTACGGGCCAATGTTATACATGCCCACATCCTCCGGCTCGCCCGGTGACGGCGCATAGATGCCGATGGTGCTATGGTCGATATCTATGGGCCGGCTATAGTCGTACAGGGACGGGGCGCGCAGGAAAATGAGTGCCGTGCCGGCGATGTTGGAGGTCAGGAAGAGGAGCAGGAAGAGACGGTCCAGCACGAGTGCGGCGTACTTCCACTCTTCGCGAGCCTGCAAACCACGAGCCGGGTCACGAGATGTCCGCCGGCCCCAAACGGGGAGAGACGAACGGAGAGGGAGGGAGGGCGGAGGAAAGGGAGGGATATAGGAGGGAGTGGGACGGGGACAGGAGGGAGAGTTGATAGGAGAAAAGAAGGCGAGGAGCTCTGTGAGACTGACAGGAAAGCGATGAAGGTTTACGTGTGAGAGTGGAAGGGATAAATATAGGTACAGGAAGCAGAAGGTGGAACAAACCAGGAAAAAAGAAAAAGAGAGAAAGAGAATGATAGGATAGGAGTGAGTGAGAGTGAGAGTAATAATAATAAGAGAGAGTGAGAGTGAGAGAGAGAGAGAGAGAGAGAGAGAGAGAGAGTGAGAGAGAGAGAGAGAGAGAGAGAGAGAGAGAGAGAGAGAGAGAGAGAGAGAGAGAGAGAGAGAGAGAGAGAGAGAGAGAGAGAGAGAGAGAGAGAGAGAGAGAGAACGGAAAGAAAAACCATAAGGCAGACAGAAATAGAGACGGGGACGGAAGCCTGGACCATCCCTGGACTTACTGACACGTGTTGACAAAATGGTCAACGGTAGAGCAACGGACTGAGGGACTGAGAGACATCAGGAAAAGGTTCACGGAGGACGGAGGAAACGGATAAGGGGAAGGACCAAATGTTGTGAAGAGATGAATGAAGAGAGAAAGAAAGCCTCAGTAGGGAAAGAGATAGGGGGCGCGAGTGATAGCTGTAAAGAGAATAAACATGTTGAGATGGCCACAGAGACGTATAGGGTGTGTGACATGTCAGATAGAGGGGACAAGAAAAGTTTGGAGGCAAATCTATCTTGCTCAGTGTGCTGATCTGATGCATCATGATGCATCACATGCATAGATATCCAAGATTCCCGAATGAATGCATTCGTCAACAGTGGTACGGCGACATTGAAAATCTTTGAGCCCACGTATATAATGATGTATCTGAAGATCGGCAATGATAGTGAGTGGGAGCTTTGGTCAAGAATCTAAAAAAGAGGGCGGCAACACAAACTGACTTGCACCAGCGCTTGTAAGTGACTCTTCCACTTACCAAGTGAGCCTTTTTGGAAAACACAATGCATCTCAGGATGAGTTAGATTAGTTTATTGTATGTAAAGTCATCAATAAGCGTTTTCATAGCAAGAAAGGCAAATTAATACAAGTACTTAGTTAACTTAGCATTGTGGTTTGCTTTCCAATTTTCTTTTTCGCATTCGAGCAATGTGCAATTTCCAGCGCTGCTTGCCGTTGGGCCAAGAGCTTGCATGGGTATGCCTATATACATTAATATATACATAAATGCATAAGTATGTACACGAATGTATACTTGAATAAATAAGCAGTCGGACCTTTGATATCCCTTGAACGAGGAAATTTTCCTGGCAGCAAACGACGAAGTTTAAGATTTTATGTTCCTTTCAAAGAAAAGACCAATACAAATTTACGTCCTCTTTGAACGTCTGGTAGAATATGTTGCCACAAACGTGTGACTTGAATGAGAGCAAATCAACGGAGCATTCGAGCAATGAACTGTTGGCGAATGATTCACTGGCAGCCCAACCGCCAAAGCTGAACATTTTTATGTGGGCATGTTCTGGCGTAATATTTGAGAGTTGGCGACAAACGGCCTGAAAATTGTGTGTTAGACATTTTCCCGTTTGTTTTTACAATGGCAATGTCATCTGTCAAAGCAAATAAACATAATTATTTTATTGAAACTTTTTGTTTAACCCGCGCCCTGATGGGGGGGGCCATTTTGCCCCCCCCCCCCTGTGGTTTTTCTTAAATAGCGAGAAAACGGCGGCGCGCAGCGCCGCCAAATTTTAAATACCTTACCGGACATCAATTTGACACCTTCACACAAAATTTCAAGTCACAGGTCACCTCAGGTCAGGAGTTATTGAGGTCAAACTGAGGTCATGTTCGAGTAAAAATGAGCAAAAAACATGACATCTTGAAACGCTCACCAATTCTACAGTTCACAAGCAATTTTAAAGTTCTTTATGTGGTTGTGTAGAGAAAAGACGGCGCTACAAAACTGCTATCTCGGATTTTTGAAATTTTTGGATTTTGACCCCCAAAAATAAAAAAAAAATGATTTTTTTAGAAAAACTCAAAAAAATTCCAAAAAATTTTCGAATTTCGAAAAAAACGGAATATATGTGATAGTCCCTGCGCTCTTCGATATACATACCAAATTTTAGATCGATACCTCTTTTTTTGGCCAAGTTATAGCGAAAAAACTGTTAAAAATTGATGACGTCAAATTTTTGAACTCAATTTTTAGCAATTCTAGACCTCGTAGCGCAAAACGGAGACCACCATTGAACTCCCCGTGACGAGCTGCATCGAATCGATACCCATTTTATACAAAAATATCAACTTTGAAATTTGACCTAATTTGACCTGACCTTGACCTGACCTTGACCTGACCTTGACCTGACCTTGACCTGACCTTGACCAAAACGTGACCTAAGCTGGCCCTAAAGTCTGTCTGACCCACATAATCGCATTTGTCATGTAAAATGGACCATAAAACATGTATCACACGACACTTTCATATTGTGACCCCCCAGTGACCTGACCTCTGTGACCTGACCTGGTATCAGTGACCTCAAATAGCAAAATATGTGTTTGAAGAACATTTCCCCATCGATGATTTTCAATGAAATGCATTTTACACGATTTTACAACGCATTTCTTGAAATGCCTGTAAACGGTGAAAATTCGACCTTTGACCTGACCTGTGACGTCATCGGTTTGACCGAGGTCAATGAAATTGGGTCACAAGGTAGTTCCCTGTTGGGGCTATCCAACACCGTTTACCGCTTGTCGCTATGTTGCGTGGTTCTCGAGATCTGAGGGGGGGGGGGCCAAAATGGCCCCCCCCCCCATCAGACCGCGTTGCTCGGCAGACCCCATCTGGGCGCGGGTTAACACCATGTAGTGTTGTGACTTATTTTTTTTTTTACTTTTATAACAAGATGACACAACAATTGAGAAAAAATGCGATAAGAAGTTGATATTTGAAATTCAGTTACCCGTTTATTGGGTAATTTACCTCACTTCCTAGTGGTTTTCAGTATTGGTACCTTTTAAGGTTTCCGTGATACAGTTCGATTTCGTGCCGCGGAAATAACGTTAACAATGCCGTGCAGATATTTTTTTAAATGTGTCGCTCTCAGAATACATCAGGCAGTTTGTCACACAAAGGTAGGTGTAGTCGATGAAATCGGATGTCTAAAAGCGAGCACTTGAAGGAGGGTCCACAGGATAAGTACTAATAATTGACAAAAGTATGGACAGGTCGAAGAAGGGAACTCTGAATGAACACAACACCGAGTAAATATAAATATGGACATTTTTACTTACCACAAGTACACGCATACGTTATTAGGTTACATTTAGTTTGGGTAATATAATATATTTAAATGTTTGTTAAATGATGACTGGAGGGAACGTAGCCCGAAAGCTGTCTAAGTTTAATACGGCTAACATCAATGTTAAGTTTAAAATGAAACATTGTTTAACTCCACTAAAAGAGAAGAGTGATTTGATATTAATGTGCAGGCTGTCAGAGCTAAGGCTAACAACAAAATGTGCAAACTGACATTAACTTTTGTGTTGAAATGAATGTGCAACTGACTACCAACAATAATACAAAATGAGTATCTTGTCGTCGTCATAAGTTGATACCTCGTTGGTTTTATCTTCTTCCTTGATATGTCGGGCGATGAACTGGACGCCCTCCAGCGCCCGCTGTACCTCCGGAGGGTACTGGGGCTCCTCGCTGGTGCACCCGAATATATCTGACAGTCGATACACGAACAGCGTCACTTACAACAGTGAATTTATCGTGCTCAATGATACGGTCCATGATGAGGCAGTCCAGCCAGCGAGTAATTAGGTAACATATTACGTTTAGTTTATCGGCTGTACCATTGACGTTGCAGAAGAATGCATGACATGATATAAAAATATCGGGAGTATAAGGAAATTCTAGGAAGGATACCATGACCAGAACAAACAGTCACTAATTCGCTGGTGTCAATCACGCCTTTCTTTGCTAATTATGAAGTAAAATTATGTTTCTCAGTGATGAGTATTGCCGGACATCACCTACCTGAATTTTGTGCACCACAACCACCGTTCAGTTTAAACGCAGACGGCGTGGAGTCGTCTGCGTACGGGTCCCGGAACGTGTCCCTGAAACGAGCCAATGACGTCATCAAACCTGTCGCTCCAATAAGGCAATGCTGTCATCGGAAAAAGCGTCAGATAATTGAACTCCGAGAGAGAGCGTTTGTTAAGCATTAGGCATTAAGGTTTTCATTTCAATGATTTAAACAAAACATATTTAATTGGAATGCATTACTGCAACCGACAGGCGTAAACAGGTTCACATCACCGAAAGGTTAACAAGGACATCAATCTATCAATGCTGATATGTCACGGACTTCTTAATACGACATGTGCCTGATGTAAGTGCCACTCAGGCGGCGGCCAATACACACCCGTGTAATCCCAGACAGTCGTTACTATCCCACTCACCCGGACATATACTCTGCACCGGCGGTGCACACGTGGTCATGCAGGTGCGTCTTGGGGTCGAAACTCTGCCGGCGTGGACCGTACAGAGGCCTCCTCATCAGCAAAAGACGCGGCATCAGGTACAGGAAGATACGCCGCACCCACGGCGCCATCTTATGAGTCGCTGGGGACCTGAGGACACATGAGATCAAAGTGGATTAGGTCTCATGAAAAATAATATATCGCTAAAATATTACACCCATCATAGCAAGTTGTAAAATCGCCATGGATGAGCCGTATATACTGCGAGTGAAGCATTGCCGTCTCCCAGGCGCATTTTGCCGTCACCGCCGTGACGGTATGCAGAGCCGCGCGGCAGCCAAGTTATCCGGTACAGCCTACCCCGCAGGCGCAATACTACTGGTGCCATCTAGGGACAGCGGGTGGAACTAACACGACTTCGGGAGAAGCATGCCGGGCGGCCGGGTTAATTTGAATGCTAATAAGTTGGGGATGGATAAACATTGTCTAAATAGCACGCGATGGATAAACATTGTCTAAATAGCACGCGATTGTCACAATGAAGACATGAACGCACTGCGCAGTGCACAGTGCATCTGCTACAGCCACAGTTGCGTGTAAATATCTGTACCTATTAACTAACAGAGTTGTAACATCAGCATGATGCCGCGGAGCGATAGACAAATTATACTAGCCTCCATACGGCCTACACGTAGGTAACTGTCAAGAGTCAGGTCACCTCTCTATATGTTTTAATTAAAGGGACCCTCCCACCTTCAAAAAAGTTAATGAATTGGCATGAAAGTGATGTCGCTCGGTTCAGAAAGAGCAAAAACGAATATCTATCAAATTTCGTCGAAAAATATTCACTGGTTTTCAAGATATTAGACTTTTACTTTTGTTTACTTTTTGGGATCTCCGCTGTTCCTAGCGACTTTATTTGAAAGTGCGGCATTTGTTGCGCGCAAAGCAGCATATACCACCGCGTGCTACAAAACGTTTTAGTCAAACATTTAAAAATCGTTAGATATCTGCGCTGACGTCACACATTCAGAGGGGTATTCCTATGCATTAGCCCCTCTGAATCAAAATGCTGCAATTTTGAAATTCAATATTTCCGATTTAAGGCATTTCTCGATGTTGTGAATGCCGAAACCGGTAATTGTGAGCCAGGGACCCCATTTTGGCTATCTCAACTCAAATCTAATGTTAACCCTCGCCCGTAAACGGCGATCTGCCACCTTCGCCCATGCAGGGGGGGGGGGGGTTGGTGCGACCCCCCCCCTTGGCGTTTGAAAACGGAGCGTCGTAGAGCTTAGCGGAAAAAACCAACGGATTTCTCTCGCCGAGATCTCGCGATTGGTGGTATATTTTTTGGTCCTAGGTCAACATTTGACCTACTTTTGACCGGTCAAAGGTCAAATTTTCGGAAAAATAGACTTTTTCAAATTTTCCGCGGTGATTGCGGCAAAATGGTGGGAGATATCGACTTGAAACCTTCACTATCGTGTTCCTTGATCAATTCTCTATCGTTTGGTATGTATTTCGTTTCCATAGCTCTAAAAATGGCGCGTTGGGAGCGCCGGAAGTCGGCAAGGTCACAGTCGGCGGCAGAAATTCGAAAAATCAAAATTTAAATTTTTGAAATCTGATTGTATTTTTGGATTTGGGATATCCATTTGCTCCCTATAGAAGCTAATATTGCTGCATATTCCAATTGAGGTGACAAGAATTAGCAGAATAGTGGTTCGGGCGCTTTTCAAAAATAGTACCGGACACTGTTCCTCTTGTGACGTCATAGCTCCGTGACCTGACCTGACCCGGTCAAGTTTCTTATACCATATGATAGCCAATACTTGCCTTAATATGCATGGCAAGTTTCATCACGATCCATCAACCGATGTCCGTACCACCGGCAGGAAACCTCGGGCGTTGGCACTCAGTTTGTGAAAATCCGGCCGGAGGCTGTTCCCTTTGTGACGTCATAACTCCGTGACCTGACATGACCCGGTCAAATTTTTTTTATCAAAAGATGCGCAAGGTTTGCCCCATAAGGTACCCAAAATTTGGCGGCGCGCAGCGCCGCCGTTTTTGCACTATTTCCGAAAAACCTCAGGGGGGGGGGTTGCACCACCCCCCCCCCTACATGGGCGAGGGTTAAGGTGCAGGAGGGTCCCTTTAAACTAGCTCATATCGAATTTAATATTTGCCCTGCCATACTAACTTCACTGCAGGCTTGTAAATATTTCCCTGCTCAGCTGCAAGGCTAGCCTATCCATTATCTCACTATAGTAGTCACGGTTTATCCAGTCCAGACATATATGAGCCATGAATCTTCACTACTCCGTGTGCCCAGTCCCAGCAGGGGACTTCCTGACACTGTTATTCATTACAGCCATCAGCTAAATGGCGGGGGAGACGCGCTCCATTTGTCTTCAGTTTTATCCGAGTAGTATGTAGGTTCAAAGCTCCTCGAATCCCTAGAGGCGAGTAGCTAAATGAGCGCCAACGATGGGCGAGCGCGCGCGCAGCGACTGCGACTCCGGCTGAAAGACCTCCAAGATGACGAGCGTGCTCCTCAGTCAACGCCAAATTATACAATTGTTTGGAAGACGGCAGGAACATTTAATGATATCGTAAAGTAACCTTAATTTATGCATTATTGATTCGTGTAAACTGTGAAGGATTAGGCATAATCATGGTTTATGTAATTATAGGTTTTGCAATAAAACATTGTTTAGTTCATTTCGATATCTTTATCTTTCTCTCAATATACATGCTATGGAGGACCGATGGTGCAGGCACACAATTTGAGTTGGTTCCAACCACCATAAAGACACGTCAATAGTCCACCTGAATACGAACTTACCTCTTCAACATTCAGCGCGCGTGTAATATGTCAAATACCCAACATACCACAATTGTCCCTAACGTAAAGCACAGGGCTTATGAACACCCAACGTAGTGGACACACTCATCAGATGTTATGGCCTCGGCACAGCGCGTCGCTTTGCCCAAGATTGCCCCATCTCCTGAGCGGAGCCCCGGCTATTCCACCCGATGTGACGGCAGTAGGTCAGCGTCAGCCCATAGATGGCTCTCCGGCAATAGTTGGCGCCGTCGCCAGTAGATGGCTCTGACCTTTATGGACCGCACAGTGGGTGGCGGACATTGCTGAGTTATGGGCGAGGCAAGTAATGAGTCGCGTGTAGGCTGGGCGAGTTGTGGGGTGTCAGACGCTTCCAGATTTAAATGTCGTTGGTGTCACTGGATGCAACAGGCTCATTATGATAGAGGAGCTAGCAAATAATGCTTTAATTAAAGTTGTAATTAAAAATGAACTGATGCGAGACGAAAGCAGGTAAACTTGAAAATGTCTTGCTGTCATGCTCAACAAATTCACGATTATACCTATATCAATTTTTCCCGGAATATATTTCTATGTTGCGCACTGTACACCTCTGTCATTATCAAGAATGCCGAATTTTCTTTGAGCCACTGAGAATACAATCGGTTACCGTTGTTACAGCTCATACGAACCTTTCTACAATGCTCAGAGATTTTTGACGTAGGACATATAAAAGTATGAATACGAATCACCTGGGTAAAACGAAATGATGGATCATAACAAACAAATGAATTGAAGCGAGTAAGATTTTCACTACGAATTACGATCCAATCGATTCCTATCCTCATTAGAGCGTTATATCAGTTGCCTGGATAGCGATATCTCGGTGGTTTTCTGGAAAAGTTATGGATGTGGCCACCGGCTTAGAGCTGACGTCTTGCCTTCTACTAAGTGTGAAAACGGATAGCGGGATTACCGAAACGGCCCATAAAGATGGCTCACATGCGCCGGCGGAAGACCCTTCACTTTAGTTTATGAATGTCCGATAGATATAGGGAAGCGTTCGGGATTAGCTTCACTGGGGTCCAAGATCTTCTACTGAACAATTTCGACAAAGCTTTCGTTCTTTGTTGCGTCCAACTATGCATGTGAATGCATGTTATTGTGATATTAGACAATCGATTGAATTGCTGAAAAGCTTTTATGCTTCCATAAAGCAGATAACTTGATCGGAATAGCTCAATATTTTAATAGAAGAAAGGCACGGTAGCCAACATCTCAAATATACATCAACGTTGTTTTGTACAATCATTTCGGTCGCCCATAATGCATCGCATTTTCTGTTTGTCACATACATAAGATAAGAATAAAATAAGAAAAGACATAAGAAAATAATAAAAGACTATTAACGTATCTCTCAAAGCTTGTCTTAACTGCGTCTTATGTTTTATAAAAAAAAAGACACTAAATATTTAGTGTGTTTTATATATAGCAGGATGTCCAGGACTGACCTGAAGTGGACGTTGAGCACGCCGACAGTGACGCAGATGGACAGCGTCACCAGCACCATGGTGAAGAGCAGGTACTTGCCGAGCAGCGGCACCGCCAGAGACGTCGGAGGGATGATCTCAGCCAGCAGCAGGAAGAACACTGTCAGCGACAGCAGGATCGAGATGCACAGGGTGACCTTCTCGCCCGAGTCGGACGGCAGGTAGAACACCAGGATGGTCAGGAAAGAGATGCCCACGCAGGGGATGATGAGGTTCACCGTGTAGAAGAGCGTCTTCCGCCGCATTGTCAGGTTGAATGTGATGTCTGCGGAAGAACAAAGCCGACTGTGAGTGATATGGTCAGCCAGCTTTGTACAAAACGTTGGGGCGTAACATCCTCACTATCTCAAACGACATCTTCCTTACGAGTAATCCAAATACCTATAGTAGGTACACATTACACAGTCTATACCGTCCCTACATTTTAATGAGCTGTCTGGGCACGTGCACTGTGCAGTCTTGGCAATAACACGCGGCAACGGGCAATCACCGGCCCGAGTTCACCCAGACGTGGCCTTAATCCTTCAAAGGGCTGCCTTATTGAACTGCATGTTCGGCAATTTATTTATCCGAGGAATTTACGTGTCTTGAATAAGCCTCCGTCCACTGAAAAGGGTCGGCACTCGAATAGTTCAGTCTATGTATAGCACAGGGTATAAACTACAATATGGACGATGGTGGCGATGGGTATCCGTGGCTGGCTCAATACGAAATTTGAGGCCACCGAGGGATCTGGGATGTAATACGCATTGCTGAATGATTAACGGCATATTGCATTCACTTTAGATGTAGCACTGAGCTCTGTCCGTTGACGCAATATGTAGTCTAGTCCTAAATCTGGCAGCAGAATGAATACCTTCGTACAGGATGTCTGTCCAGCGGCGCAATGCTGCTGACAGCTAATAAATCCTTAGCAGTCACTTATATGCCTCGCAATACGCTACTTGATTAGTCTACCCAGCAGCACTGCAACGTAAATACACCATCTTTTCGCTCAGCCCAATCCCAAAGAAGAACAATGCCAGCGAGAGAACAGTCTGTATCAGGTTACGCTTCCGGGAATGTTTGAGCCGTCTCCAATTAGTTTCAGGTGCCGACTCCCACTAAGATATCATCCACCAGCGCGGCGGTCGGCCGACAGCGCCGCTCGGGGCGGCGCAGTCACCCGGAGACGAGCGGCGCAGTGCGCCAGAAACGTCTCACTGCAGCGGCGCCTACCTGGATACGGCGTCTGCACGTACAGCTCCTCGTTCCGCTTGGCCGGGATCTCGAGGATGTCCCACTCGACGCTCATGTAGTACTCGGTGAGGTCGATCCCGATGTCCACGATATTGCTGCCCGACTTCTGCTCCATGTGCTTCAGGTCCACCTGAGGACGGAGGGAGACGAATGTCGTAACCGTGTTCTCCTCCGGTAGCGACCGGTTTGTCGTATATCTCTCGAACGATTACGCATACATGTCTAAACATTGTGAATGTTTTGCTTAGGAAAATTCGCCCAGTCTCATCCGCAACGTGGATGGCATTTAGAGTGGAAAGAAAAAAATGTATGCATCGAATAAATCAGTTACAAATGCGCATAATTTTAACACATTTATGCGATAAAGGGAGACACGACATATATAAATAACAGCATAGCATCAATCAGCGTAATGTCACGGGTGAAATTGCAGCATTTGAAAAGGGAGATTTTACTGGATTTCCTCGGGGATTTGACAGATTGGGAAAGATCCCAGTAGACTTTAAGCGTAATGTATTGCGGATATCGAGCAGCCAGTGAGCAGTGACCACATACATCTCAACAGATTCCAGCTCTAATTCCAATTAGACATCGGCGATCCTATGTGGACCGTAAAATCTCGGCAACAGTTGGCCGGCCATTTCACGGCGTGACGTCACTGACGGGGCGATATAGCCTCGGGCTGTCACGTGACTGCGGAGCGGCAGCCGATTGGGCGCAATGGCGGCCTCCCTGGAATTCTGGCCGAATCGCTCCGGGTCCAGCCGCGTCATCCGATCCAGGGCAGAATTTCAACTGACGAGACAAAGCCGCTGCTCCCGGCGCGGCAGGGGGATGTCGCCGGCTGCTGGCTGACCGGCCGGCTGGCCGGCTGGCAGTGGCGATATCGGCGGCAGCACAGGCCTGATTCAATCAGACGGCGCGGGAACACAGGGAGCGGACACGTATTGGATCCGGAAACACACCGTATCGCCGCCAGACCACTCGACTGGCGCCACTCCTGGTCTGCCTTTGTCGCCACACCACTCGACTGTCTCTGCAGTCCCCTGCTTGGGGGGATGATGGTAGACGCTGGCCTCTCTCTCCGTGACTGGTCACTGGTCACCCGTGAACAGACAGGGTCTGGGAGGCAGCAGGACGAAACGCTCACCTAATAGAAAGAGCAAAGTCTCAAAAGTTTTGTTTGTACATACAGGCCAGCTCAGCATTTCATTACCTCATTAGGACGCCTCAAAACGGCAGACCAATCAGCTTACGTATCTTTCCTAAGTCATTGAGAATGACACTGTTGAACACACCAAGCTCACACCTTTGAAACTCCTTGGATTGCCACGTAAGAATATATCGTACAAAAATACACAAGCGAAATTTAGACATTTTAGTTCTCCCTTAGTGCGCATCCGGATCTGCCCTTGGATTGCCACGTCCTCCGTCGTTGTAGCTTCATTTTCAGCAAAATAATAATATCATCCGAATCAATTCAACTATATGTAGTGCCGTTGGGCTCCGTATAATTTCTAAGTATCCGCTTCATTAACTTAGTAGCTGATTAGATGGTAGATCTGTGAACAAGATTACTATATAGTTTTCGATGGAGGACTAGCGTTTTGTATGCGTTGAACACAAACAGGGCAAATTAAGTGACTCAATCAAGTAATTTAAACTAATAAAGCTTTAATAATCTCATCCAGGGCTTCAATAGTGCTGCTGAAACCTTTATAATAGGCGTAGGTACCGTTCCTTCAAAGTAAAACTTTTTGTTATTTCTATATTCACAAACTTCAACGTAAGTACATCCATTAAAATGACATGGACCCTCTGTGCCAGTCTGCCGGGCGGCACTTCTGGCGCAGTCAGAGGTGACGGGTGGCGGACGGCCCGCGGGGCGGTCAGCGGGAGGGGGCAGCAGCCCGCGGGGTGGGGGCGGGGGTGGGGGGTGCGTCGGGTGCTATATCCCGCCGGGTAATTGCCCGGCCGTCGGAGCCGTGACGCCCGGCCGCCGGCGGGTGTCGGCCGAGACTGATCGATTCTGGACAGCTCGCCACCGCCACTGCCACCTCACCGAGACCGGACGGGCAGCGGCGGCGAGAACGGGCCGGGCCGGGTCAGACGGCCGCGGGGAGGGAGGGAGTGAGGGAGGGAGAGAGAGAGAGAGAGGGAGAGAGAGAGAGAGAGAGAGAGAGAGAGAGAGAGAGAGAGAGAGAGAGAGAGAGAGAGAGAGAGAGAGAGAGAGAGAGAGAGAGAGAGAAACAATGGTATGCTGCTGTGATTTCTCTATCCCACTTGGATAGTGATTTTACATAGTTAAGTTAGAAGAGTTTTAATGAGTAGGTTAAGAAGTAGGTTCTGGTAGTCTTAAGTAATCTAAAATTCATAAGATAAGTCAAGTGAAACTAATTGAACATGCAAAAGGTGTTAGACTAGATACTTGTGAGAAGTTCCGTAAATATTATTTGGAAAGCAGGCTAGATAAAGCCGGGGAGGCAGAAGAAAATTGCAAACCTATAAATAATTGCAGGACAAGTTTGCTCACAAAATAATCCGTTACTGATTTTTGTGCGGCATAATATGGGCATAATAACATCCAGCCAGCTATATTTACAAAGCCTACTTCACGGACAAACTGATGCTGCAGGTTAGACTATTAAGGCGGCGATACACACACGCACAGGGATGAGAGGCTGTGGCTGAACCGGTGTGTTACGAGCTCACTAACCGTCGGACGCGGGTTATCGCCTCGCCAGCCAGCCCGTCCGTCATTCAATGCGCCCCGCTGAATCTCCCCGAATGGGCACCCACGGAAGATGAACTGCCGCATATCTCCCAGAAAACGTGAGCAGGAACCGGTGAATTATCAAAGAAGGAGCACAAAAGAGACGCTTTGGTTTAAACGGTGAAGAGCGAAGGATTTTGATCGGCAAATATGAACGGGCAAGCTATACGGGCCCATGTAAAAGTGTTTGCTTTTTATCATCCATGCTGATTGGATCAAACAAAAAAAAGTTCCGGAAATAAATTTTGAATGTCTCACAATTCAGAAAATATTCCCAGGCCTGTTTTAACGCCATGCTTAGAGTACAAGGCGGTTAACATTAGGATAATTAATGACGTACGAGAAGCACTTCATGTGGACTTTACTTTTTTACCATTGCGTCCTGGCTAGCCAAAGCTATGGCCGGGACCTTACATTTAGGCTATTTAGACTGAAAGCCGCATTAAAATGGTGCAATCGTGTCCCGAAGGCTGGATGCCTATGGACAACCTAAACAGATGGCTTCTCCCGCTGAATGGGTCAGGCGGTGGGGTCTGGCGTTGCCACTGCCACCGGACTAGCCGCCACGATTCCGCCAATCTCTCCAATTAAAGTAGTCAATTGGATTAACGGTTCTATCCGGTCACTCCAGCCCGTGGTCTATGCTTCTCGCGGGCTGAGCAGTAAAGAGAAGCCTAAAAACTGAGATATTGCATAAATTTAGAACTTCCAACATATGTATCTAACGTTGCTTGACATGTTGTAAACATGCTTGTTCATGTATTGTTGAAAAGGTCTTGTCTAAAAATATACGTTGCATGCTGATAGACGGACAAATCTCGTACCAGAAAAGTTTTGTGAAATACTTTCAATCGCTGCCTACAAGCTATTCAAACTGATACGTAGGAAATTATATTAAAACCGATAGGATAGGAATGGCTGATTGGAATTGAAGACGGTCTGATTGCAGATAAACATAGGCATTTTATAGGCTTCGCAGATTCGAGCTATAACCAGCACGCCATGAGAGGTTTCTCAACACAGCGATACCTCTTTAAGCATAGCCTAAAGAGCAGCAAAGCAACACCGCACCCTTTCTGAACTCATTAACCATCCACATTAGCATACTTATTTGTTTCCATCCGCCAAATTAAATGGAGCAGAGTCAGAAGTGGGGTTCCCGCTGTCATAACTGACACGCCTACAAACTCCTTAGCCATCCTCGCAGGCTCTTCCTGCTCTCTGCACCGATTACAAATGTCCTTAAGAACAATGGTGTGTCCACGACTGGCATTGAGCGGCAAGAATAAGGGGAGGGGTTTATGCATAAGCATTAAAAACAATATGAAGAAGCAAGTGCATATACCGTTGCATAGCTGGCGTACCTACATTGCAAAGTTTTGTATTATATCTCGTCAGCTATCCGGTCAATATCTTTCATTGTGTTATGTCCACTCAGTTGACTTATCATTTACGGTCAATTGACCATGCCCGTCCTCTCAGAGTCATCAAAGACCTCGAGGACTCCTAAACACTGCCAGAGCCAGACCAATGTCTGAGTGTGCCATGCTCTATTCGAAGATCTCATCTCAGGCACGAATAGGAGCTTGAGAGCCAGTCAGCTCCAGAAACGATACTGGCCATTGCCTGTCTACATCAAGGGTCCTCCGACTGTCCACTTAGACGGCTACTGTCCCGTTGACAGAAGCAGCACCGCCGTTATTACCTGGAAGCCGTCGTAGGTCCAGCTGCCGAACTTCATGACGCAGCTCTGCTCGTCGAAGGGGAACCACTCCACGTCGATCTCGCAGGAGGACTTGTAGATGGCCGGCGGCTTCCAGACCACCTGGCCGTCGTGGCGCAACGTCGCCTTGGTCATCAGCGTCACCTCGTAGTTGCCGTCAGCGCTGCGGAATCACGTCACAGAGCGGCCAGGGCAGGGGGAGAGACGTCAGTATCATGGTCAGCGCTGGGGAAGGGACATCAGTGGTATACGTTCAGAGCTGAAGATACGTCAGAAAGTGTTCAGTGATGTGCCGTCAGAGAGCGGTCAGTTATGTGACGTCAGAGAGCGCTCAGTGATGTGTGACGTCAGTATCAATTTAAGAACTTCGTCATCAAAACATTCTTAAGCTAGCCTATGGGTAATGGGTATGCTTGTTCAGAAGTTATTTTCATCTTTACTGACAAATCATTATTACCTCAAACCATGTTCACTTTGGGGAGCATAACCGTACTTGCCGACTTCGCTGGGTTTAAGTATCCTTGCATACGCAGAATTAATGAGTCTTATCAACGCCACTGAGAGCACGAGGATGCTCGGGAGTTTTAATGGGGAAACTTTGTGCAGTTCTGGGAAGGGCCCTGTTACGGTATACTGACTTGTTGAAGAGGACGATGTCGGGAAGCCAGATGTGCTCGGACGGCACGTACAGCTTGTCCACTCCTCCGTAATCGGCCGGGTTCCAGCTGAGCTTGTAGTCGAACCATTTCTGTGCAGCACGTAGAGGGAGTCAGCATTGTATCTAAAAATGCAACATGCGAATGCGTAGTTCTCGGTTTATCGAACGCTTGGTTAGTACAACAGCCACTGGGTAATGAGCATACTCATCTAACTAGATGATTATCTACCCTCCCTCCCCACTCTAAATACCTTTGGCTTGCATATATTTTTTTCGAAAAGCTTGTAGCATTTCTTCCTTCCGCGAAGTGCACATGCACTCAGTCATTTGTGTGCCGCACTAGGTCCCAACCATTGCTTTGTCCGCTTATAGATCTGACCTTCAGAGGCATTACGCCTGGGACGGCATCCGTCCGACTCGGTTTGGCGCAGCGCTCGCCGCTCGCAGCTTCGATTTAAACTGCTGGTCGCCAGGGTAACATTGCGGGCTTGTAGGGATCAGAATGCAGCTTATAGATCAGTTTTGTTTATGAGTGTCTTCTATCAGCATTTATTTTCATTGCATTGCAGCCAATATTGGACATGCTTGGACGGTCATATTTGGCCAGTCCACTACACAAGACGTCTTTCAGCTTATATTTATTTTTTTCTAACATTTTATATAGCAGTAGTACTTGTGGCATTGTCCCGCTGCACTCAACTTGGCCCGTTTTTGGATATGTGGAAGCCATGTCCGGCGGGCTGTCCGGGGCTACAAAGGAGCGGTCGTCCGGCCGGTCGCTTCATTTCCGTGTGACAGCCGCGCCGTTTGTGAGGCAGTTCTGCGCCGAATGCGACATCGTCGGTCGGTGTCAGCGCTGTCTGACACTGACCGACACCGTCTGACACCGTTACCGGTCCCTCTGACACTGTCTGACACCGTTACCGGTCCCTCTGACACTGTCCGACACCGCTGCCGGCCCCTCTGACACGGTCTGACACTGCTGCCGGCCCCTCTGACACGGTCTGACACTGCTGCCGGCCCCTCTGACACTGTCCGACACAGCCGTCTGTCCGCCTGTCTGTCTGTCTGTCTGTCTGTCTGTCTGTCTGTCTGTCTGTCTGTCTGTCTGTCTGTCTGTCTGTCTGTCTGTCTGTCTGTCTGTCTGTCTGTCTGTCTGTCTGTCTGACTGTCTGTCTGACTGTCGTTGTCGCCCCTCTGTCGTCGTTTGTTCAGCTGCACTCCGCCGCCACCGCCGCCCGTCCAGGCCGATCGGACGAGTGACATCTTCCTCGACAGATCCACAGGTGATTTAACACTTGTCGCCGCCTCTCCCCTCGGCCGCTCACAGCGCGCGCGGCCGAGGGTGCGCCGGTGGATAATTGATCCGGCCTGATCATATGTCGCCGCGTAGAGGGAGCCGCGGCGCGCGCCAGGAATACACTGAGGCCATACAAGTTACCGTGGCTTTTCAGCACCGCGTGTATCAGGCATCCTTCCGAAAGACTACAGTGGCCTCTTGGCTCTTAAGTTTACTTCTCTTCATTTTTATTGGGACACTCCTCCGACATTTTAATACGGCTGTTTAAAATAGTCACTTTTAAAACAGTCAATAATGTATGGTACATGCATAGGTATTTGACACAAAAATAGGCATCGATAAGTTTTCGATTCATACTTATTTCAACCGCAAAAAATCACCTTTTTCCCATACAGGAACTGAAACAAACCACAGAAGGCAGGCAGATAGGAACCCACCTGTTGGACCCAGACGTTGGTCGTCATAATCTGATTCTTCAGGTTCTAAAACAAGAAAAACACGTTTTTAGCTACATGGATAGAATGATGTCAATAAATTGCAGGAAGGAAGTTATTTGCATTACGGAGATTATGTCGTAATTGTTCGCTGTTTAACACATTTATATTGTAACCCGCGCCCTGGTGGGGTCTGTTTATAACGCGACCTGGTGGGGGGGGGGCTATTTTTTGCCCCCCCCTCGTATCTCCGAAACTACTGGACGGATCCGAAAAATTCAAACGGCGTTCGAAAGGCCTGTCAAATTTATCGAAGGAAACCAAATTTTATTGACCTCGGGGTCACCGATGACGTCACAGGTCAGGTCAAAGATGAAATGTTTCACCGTTCACGGGTCTTCTAGGGAATGCGCTATAACACCGAGGAAAACGCATTTTGTCGGGAATCAGCGATAGGGCGTCAGTTGCCTAGTAGATATGTTGCTGTTAGAGGTCACTGGTCATACCAGGTCAGGTCAGAGGTCAGGTCACCAAAGGTCACCAAGGGTCACCACATGAACCCAACTTTACTAAGGTTATGCGATGCATGTTTTATGGCCAGTTTTTCATTTCCAACTCAATGGTGTTGGTTATAAGACCATCAGGTACGGTTTAGGTCACTTTCTGGTGGAGGTCAGGTCAAGGTCAGGTCAAAAAAGGTCAAATTTCAAAGTTGATAGTTTTGCATAAAATGGGTATTGATTCGATGCAGCTCGTCACGGGGAGTCTAATGGTGGTCTTTGTTTTGCGCTACGAGGTCTAGAATTGCTGAAAATCGAGTTTGAGAATTTTACGTCATCAATTTTGAACAGTTTTTTCACTATAACTTGGCCAAAAAAAAGAGGTATCGATCTCAAATTTGGTATGTAGATAGAAGGCGGTAAGGACTATCACATATATTCCGGTTTTTTTTCGAAATTCAAAAAACTTTTTGGATTTTTTGGCTATTATATTCAAAAAATCTATTTTTTGATTTTTGGGGGTCAAAATCCAAAAATTTCAAAAATCCGAGATAGCAGTTTTGTAGCCCTGTCCATTCTACAGCTTTTATGTCTGTATCATTTTTCTGCATTTGCAAAGCTATAGGCCTGACAGCTCTTCCCGCGAAACCCTTTTTTGGGTCGAAAACGGCAGAACATGACATCACTCTGACGTCATTTCCGGCCAACCTATCATAGCCTTTGGAAAAAATTTTTGGTCACAATGTGTAAAATTGATGTCCGGGAGGGTACTGAAAGTTTGGTGACGATCGGCGCAGTTGTTCTGGAGATATATCGAAAAGTCTGGAGGGGGGGCAAAAAATAGCCCCCCCCACCAGGGCGCGGGGTAATGCATATTACAGAAAAGACTATGTTTGGCCGTTGCGAAATACCTACTCACAACGAAGAGCATTTCTGCCCGAATTCTTATCATTTACTTTATTTGCATATCAGCAATTAAAACAGCTTTGCCTCATTTCTTTTCACTTTACATGCATTATGCATTCATTAGCTGCCTCACCAAGCGAAGCGAGAAGCTGTTCTTACCACATCGATGAGCTGCGAGAGTTTGAGTTTGAGCCAGACGGTGAGTTTCTCGGTGTTATTTCCCACGGGTCGGATGAGCCGGTTGTAGTTGCTTAGCAGGTCATCGTACAGCCGTTTGGCGTAGGGATTGGCGTCCGAGCCATCTGAAACATGGGTCAGAGACGGACGAGCCCCGTGTTAGCGGGCTGGAACGAGCCACAAATCAACTCCAGCCGAGTCGCAGACACGACCAAACGGGAGCACAGAGCGCGCCGATATTGGAGGTTCGAGAGGCGGTCCCGGGAAAACAAGTCTTTAAAAACAGGAGTTGTTGGAAACCTAGACGTTAACATAGTCATTCTGATCAATATCTCAAGAGGATTCTGCGACACAGCACTGCCTAGTCAGCGTGTTTTATGATGCACCCTCTTTCCCTGCTGTACCAGCTCTTCCTGCAGCCACCGTATCAATAATCATCAGCAGGTCATCAGTGTCACCCACGGACACGCTCCATTGGTGACACCCTCGGCTGTGTCTGCGCGAGGAGAGACCACCCCTCACACGAGAGCGACCGGGATGGGAGCCAGCCGACACTCCCCCTCTCAGCGTAGTGGCCATTGGCCACAGCCAGCCGACACTCCCTCTGAGCGCAGCAGTCAGCGGCCAGACATAGCCGACCGTCGCCCTCTCAGCAGACGACGACCAAATATCTTTCACCGCTCCACGTAGCCGAACGGTATACCGTCCACCACCCCACACAGCCAGCAGTATATGACCCACCACCGTTCCACACATCTGGGAGGTATACATACCGTCCACCACCCCACACGGCCGGGCGGTATACCGTCCACCACTCCACACAGCCGGGCGGCGTATCGTGTCCTCTCAGACTCGGCCGGTCTGTTGACTCTGCTGTTTCCGTTTGCTCTCGGTCCGGTCACAGTGACTACCTCCATCTACTCCGCCCCCGTTCCCTACCCCTCCCCCGGCGGAGCGGCGGCGCCACTCGGCTGCCGAAGCGCCCAGCCACTCCTGTTCCACCGCCCCTCTGTCGCCAGAGAAAACAGGACTCGTGTCACCGGCCGCAGGCCCTGAGGCGGAACAGCCGCTGTCCCCCACCGCTCCCCACCCCAGCGACTCGATGTGGGCTCTGACGACCTTTCAGCGAGCTCAGCACGGGCCGCAGAAGCCAATAGAGCCGATAGAGCACACTAAGTGGATATTATAAGGACGTCAATGGGTCCAACAACAGGCTCACAAGACTGACAGACATCACAAGCACCAATGGAGGACCAGCTACTTTACGTCACGTCTGAAGTCTGGACAGAGCCTGGCCTTGGCCCAGGCCATAATCATCAGCTCGTATCCCTGCCAGTGTTCGTATCCGTGTCCGTGTCAATGTCAGAGACCCGTGTCCATATCCATCTCCTAGAAACTTATAACTTGCGTTCATAAAACTTTTCCAAGAAATATCACAAACTTCGTCTGATCTTTTGTCCAAAGTTTACACTTGCGCTCCGTATTACATTCATTGATTGTATGAGTGAATCATAAAGCTTCTCGTTTCCAAGTGTCGGGAACTTGTCAGCCCGTTTAATTTCTAAAGGGTGTTCGAAAATCGCTGCTTGGTTGAGAGTGAAGTAATTCCCTCCTCGGGTGATGATGCCGTGAAACATGGTTCGTGTTGAGTCTGCCTTTCTGTCGATCTGTCTGTCCGTCGTTGGGTTGTCGGTCAGTGAAACTGCTGGTCGGTTGGTTGGTATTTCAGCTGGTCAGTCAGTTAGTTAATTTACTGGTCTGACGGTCAGTCGGACGGTCGGTCGGTCGGCCTTTATGTCGGTCGTTCGGCGGATCTGTTGGTCAGTCGGTCTGTTGGTCTGTCAGTCTGTCGGTTTGACGTTCGGTAAGTCTCTGGGTCGGTGGGTCTGTCGTTTTGTCGGTTAGTCGCTTTACCGGTCAGCCATTCGGTCGGTGTGCAGTTCGGTCGGTCGGTCGGTCGGTCGGTCGGTCGGTCGGTCGGTCGGTCGGTGTGCAGTTCGGTCGGTCGGACGGTCGGTCGGTCGGTCGGTCGGTCGGTCGGTCCGCGCTGTGCCGACTCAGCTGGCCTTCGGAGCGAGACCGGCGGCGGCTGGGGACCGCCAAGATGAATGGCGCGATAGCGGGTCGAATGGAGCCCCGCGGACTGAGGCGACGCAGCGACGGCCGCCCTCGAATCGGCCGTAAAACCACGTCACTGGCCGCTGGTCTGCTCCATTCGATATAATGAACGGCGAACGAGTGTCGCCAAACGGCACCTGACGAGCTGCGAGCGAAAATCCGCCCAGCTTGTGTACCAAGTGGGACGCGACGGGGGCGCAGATGGAGCCGGAGTGCGCTAAGCCTGTTTTCTCCAGAGACCCACGAGATGATGAAGAAGGGATATGGAGGATGAGATTGATATCGGAAAGGAGGAAGGTTGAAAACAGTAGAAATAAGGCTGGAGAGGACACAGACGAAAAACAGTGAGATATCAGAAAATAATAAAAAAATAAAACGGGAAAGATGCTGTGTACTGCTATTCATGACTTCTTGCTGAGTACCCAGTAGGCATAACTACACTGCGAGGACGGGGTATATAAAGCATAAAGAGATTATGTATGTAGACTTGAAGCAAAGGAATGAAATATAAATGCACATGCTTTAGAAAACACAATTGAACACTATTCAGGTAAACTGCGCGTTTAACAATGATGCACACCGATTTTTCGTGTAAAATATTTATGCTATGTATTGCATTAGGCATACGAATTTCCATGACAAGCAGCGCATGCTATCTGTGTGACACTATTCACGAAAAGTCAATTTAAGCCCCCTGAATAAAGCGAAATAATTCCAGAATAGTTAAAGCCATTTTATAGATTGACGTCTCAATGAAAGCTGCCATTCCACAAAGCTATGGGAATAATGATGTCATGAACGATTGCCATGATACTGATCATAACAACGATAATGGCTCGGGCTACTCTCTGGGCACCCGGTCCGGATAATCCGCAGACTTCCCGGCGATTCCGTCTCCTTCATACAGCCACCATCAGGCCATCCTCAATCTCCATCTGACCCTCATAAAGGCCCATATCCCTCCCTGACCGTCGTCAAACAGGCTGCCCCTGGACAGTGCGCGGCCCCGGGGCGGCGACGAGCGACGGCGTCGACGCGTGGCGCGTGCGCCCGAGCCGGCCGTCGCAGCCGACAATGCCGGCCATCCGTCAGTGGAATGGATTACGTCCGGTCACTGTGAAGGGCGGGCGACGACGTCCGTCACAGTCACACACAGGCACACCGCACAGGCAGCAGTCACAGTCACACGCAGTCACAGGCGGTAGTCACAGTCACGCACAGGAACAGGCGGTAGTCACAGTCATGTCACACACAGGCACAGGCGGAAGTCGCAGTCTCAGAGCCACAGTCGCAGTCACAGTCGCATAGTCGCAGTCTCACACAGTCGCAGCCAGTAGTCACAGTCACATAGTCATCGCACAGTCCCAGTCACGTAGTCACAGTCACAGCAGTGCGACTGCTGTGAAACACATCCCGAGGGGAAATCAGCCTGGATATCATGGTTGTGGTGACCGTGCTGGGGCGGCGGCATTTTGGCATGGAAAATGTAGCCAATGATACTCAAAACCAAATACTTTGGAGCATATTTGTCTGATAAAGAACTTCGATCAGAAAGTGACAGAGCCAGTCCAAGCCTGTGTAAATTCCAGCCATATAGGATAGAGCTGGTGTTCTGATTTAGTCCTGTCGTGTCCAGTATGAGCGGCCGTTGGTTCCTGACGTGCCGACTGCTCACTGAGCTCAGTGGACACGATGTGTCGTCTCAGACTGAGGATACGAGCCACTCAGAACGTCCGTCCTAAATTAATGAACTCTTAGACCTCCGGGAATACATTTCACCGTCTGCTGAGAACGCGTTCCTCCGACTGTCAAGAGCATCCCACCCGATATAGACAGAGAGTGGGCGAAGTTTTGGTGACGTAGGTCGTAGCCATCCACTTGGAAATGTTTACTGTAATGAATAAATGAAAAAAGAAAAATAACAAACAGAGCAATGTTTGACAAAAATATCCACCCCAAGAGCTGTTACATACATACCGCCAGTCTGGACACCGCCACCCACGCGCTCAGACGGATCATTGGGCGGGCCGACGGCCAGCGGGTGGGGCTCCGGGGCTTCTCCGCGAGAGTCGAGCCAACCGGTGCGCCGACCTGCGCAAATACACAAACATAACGCACACAAAGACGGTCGGCAGGCTGGGTATATGCGCATTCCAATCTATCTTCCGGAACTCGGAATCAGGCGAACCCTTTCAGTTCGTCACAAGTTATCAAACTATAATTAGTACAAATTTGATGGAGAACCTTCAAGGTTTGCCATCAATTAGCTTTCGAAAATTGTGCAAATCGTTGAGCGGGTGTATGTGGTATGAGTGCCACTCTGAGCAGGATTTTATGAAAATGGCACTACAGAGCCACCTCCTGCCCTTTTCCACATCCGATTCGTCAGTTTCGACCAATGATGATCCACTAACAATCTTGAATTCTTTCCTTAGCATTTTAAGATATGGCGTGCCAAATTACGGGGCATAGGTTTAGAAGTGTTCGCCTTATTCCGAATTCTAAATCATAGAAAGGGATGCACATAAAGCTAACCTGGCAACCGTGAAAAGCGCGAGCAGCACACAAAAACAAAACAAATATGCTTGAACACAGGTTAAAAATAGCAAACATTGCTTTCCAATAAAAACTAAAACATACAAAACGATCAAATCAAAAGAAAGCAACTATGAATAAAAGTAAAGAGATGACGGCTAAACACAGCCAGACTTAGCCACAACAGCCTTCCCAGAGGACGGAAAGAGAAATAAGCAATGAACCATGCATTCTAGGGTTTAGTGAGGATTATCAACATGCATATCGTAGGGTTTAGCCAGGGGCGCGGGAACTACTTTCCGACTGGGGGGGGGGGGGGGGCACACCATAATAGAGATCAGCCTAGGGTAGGGGAGAGTGGGGTGGGTTGTATCAGTTTTTACTCCGAGACCCATAACCTCGTAACTATCCGTGATAAACTCATTATTTCCATACTATCTCCTTCCTTGATTCTTCTGCTTTTTTGTGCAAA